AACTGGAACTAGCCTTTGTGAAGCTGTTGTTAAAGAAGAGAGATGGAAAACCATGTGCAGCCTTAGAGGTGTGACAGAACCAAAATAATACCTTGGATAATTTCAGGATCCCTTCTTTGGCAAAGCCTGCCATGGAAAACAAACCGGGAGCCCGGCTGACCGCTTAGCAGGCCAACATGGATCTCTTCTTACCTCCTTCCTAGAGAGAGAAGGGTGGGTATTGCATGATAAATACTATTTTAAAAGAAGCACATCAATGTAATACTGCAAGTTTTGTAGCTGTTTGAAAATGCAACTCTTTCAGCATTAGTTCAAAAATGCCTCTTTTACAGGAGCTTACATAAATGGCAACTAACTCCCAATCAATCCCTGAATTTGACTCCCATCTTTTCAAAACGTTCAATCCAAAAAGCAAGCAAAGGTAAGGAATGGTTTGGTGGATACACCAGTCAACTGGGCATCTGAGCAGCACCCGTAGAGTCATGTCCATGTTCCCAGCTGTTCCTTCACTTTATCCATGCCATTGAACTCCCCTTCCCCGTGCACGGACACCAACCCCTCGTGATGCCCCATTTTCCCAGGAGGGAGAACTAGGAGGCTGCATGTTAAACCTGGGTAGAGAAGCAACACTGAAAGGCACATGGCTGCACCCCAGGATGCCTTTTCACATATGCAGGAAGGCTGTGAAGGAGCTTCCATTTCCTTGCCTCTCACATGCTGTTGAGGGATGGGGGATGAAATGAAAGGTTTTGATCAGTCAAGATCATTGTTTTTCTTTCACTACATGTCACAAACATTGTTTGGGGTTTCAAGCTCTGGACTAAATACAAGCTTTGTGAATACAAGCACCTGCCTCTCAGCAGGAGGAAGCCAGTGCATGTGCAAAGTCAGAGATCTAGGAAAGGTCCCTCTAAATCTTCCCGGGGGGGGGGATGCCATGGGTGACAGTGGGTCACAGTGCAGTTTCTAGAGTACCATGCACAGAGCCTGTCATGGGGCCAGGGAGAAAGGCTGCCTCCAGCTGCCTTATCACCTGCCACAGGGAGGTGCCACCCAATCTGTGGCCTAGAGAAAAAAAAAACAGAAAAATATCTGCACATTCTAGCACAGAGGGCTCTAGTTTTGTTCGAGACCTCCAGCTATTAAAATAAATCCATTTAAAAAATATAACTCTATTAATAAAAAACCCCAAACCATACACAAAACCATGCTGTCAACTTGAAACTGTTTTCTTCCTGTGAAAAGCAAGTTTCCGCAGCAGACTTTTGCCCAGTCTCCTTGAAATTTTCAAATGCACAAATATTTTCCATGACAGAGCAACCATAATAAAGCTCTTTGGTCACAGTGGTGTGGTTTACACAACACACCTTTTACAATCCCACAAAAATGTAGCAGTGATAAAAACATATAAAAAACCCTCAACTCTGTAGCATTCAAAAGAAAAAAATCTCAAAACCAGCCACCGCTAGTACGTTAAATATTTGACGTATGTGCAAGCAGACACTGAGCTGATAGGTTGTCACCAGCCACTGTGGTAATAACAATGCCTGCATAATTCTGGAAGCAAATATAATGTCATGGTGAATTTTTAACTTTGAATATTTGTTCGTGTTTATAAGAGACACCTGATGACCTCCTAGACTTGAGCCATATATTCATCCTGAGGACAAGAGCAATACTGGCACGGAAACTGAGGAGCTTGCTCTGCCCAGGATACACCTTAAGTTCTGTCCAGCCTGGAGGTGAGTCTTTACGGCTGGCAAACACCCACCAATCCCTCAGTGGGAGGACTGAGACCCAAATTAATTTGCAACACCCCATTACCAACTCCACAGAGTCACCCTGTCATTTTATCCAACAGCACACTTAACCATCTTGAACTTCTTTCAAAACTCACCAGAACATTGAGATGACTCATACTTAGATCAATAGAGTGCATTCATCTGTTAGCAAAGGATCAAATCTAAATGAACCCTTATTGCCTTTTAAAGGCTACGGCTGCTTCTTCCCCATCGCCACTTCCCTCTCCACTTGCACAATATTTAAAGGGGAGGTGCAACATGCCTGACAGAACAACACACACATGATCCCACAAGGCACACGCTTTGCTACAGTCACTTCAGCAGGACTCCACCATACTGCCTCCACCTCCAAGAGAAGCTGAAGGGGTCTCTCAGGTGTTGGGGAATGGGAAATATCTCTGTGAAAGTGCAGGGTAAAGAGCGGCAGCACAAGACCACAATCACAGTTATTTTGGGAATGGCAATATTCATATACACTGCCAACAGCCCTATTTCCAAACAGACAGTATTTAAATGGTAGAATAAACAACCATCTGCCTCTGTGGGATGGTAAAGTTGGAGAGTAGGGTGCAGACTAGCCTGATATATGGTGACCGAGGGACGCAGTGACAAGCACGTGCAACACCATTGCTGGGAAAGGAACCAGACAGACTGTGCCGTGGTGTTGCCCCTTCACACCAACTGGTGAGTCACCTTTTCAAGTCACTGACTTCTACAGTAGAACTGCTCATGTTTAAAGTTTCTAGGAAATTGAAATTTTCAGTCTAAGGAAGTCTTTCACCACATTGGAAGTGCGATGGACATTCAAGCTCAGCACATAGTCCAGATGCCTCCAAAGACAGAGGCTGTTTACCACTGACTTGCCTATTAGCAGAATCATCCTTTCCTACAGCTTCCCTATATGGATGAAACCTGACCAGCATTAAACCTAAAGGTAGAACACCTTAGAAACAGCTTCTCTGGAAAAAACAATTACTTATACATGGTTACTCACCAAAACCAGTTAAAACACAATGCATTAGCATACATTACTAACAACCAGAACCTGAGCAGCCCACTTACTCAACAACCACACTCCTCTGTGCCTTTGTTGACCAGTTTCATAGACTAACCCAAATTAGCTACATATCTGAGTGTATTTGCTAGAAACATTAGCCAAATGCACTCAGAAAAACACCAAACTAGTTTCCTTTAAGTCTTGTTGCCTGCATCCCATAATTCATCAGCATTTACAGCTGATGCATGAAATTCCATGATTCCACCTCAGATCAGTGCCATGCCAATCAGCTTGCCATATCAGCTACATCAATGACCTTCTGCTTCATGAACATTTGCTGGTGCTTTGTGGTTTACTTAAGTACCAATAATTACTTAAAACATTTTGAATTCACGATACCCACCATTATAAATGCACTGAAATGTAGGGCCATTGACCCCTTGAACATGGAGCCATTTACACTGCCAATAGAAATATTCCATGCTTCCGCTTTTCAGCACCTTTTTGGATCACCTTATCATCCACATGTAGCAATGAATTCCCACAATATATTACAAGAGCTCCTCCTTGTTCTTCACAACAGATGTTTTTCATGGATAATTTTTACCTTTCAATCCATAACTTCCTTGGGTTTTCTAGCCCTGTATCCACTCAAATATTGCTTTTAGTTCTCCTAACAAGAATATACTTTTATATACAGCAATAGCAGCATTTTTTTTCTTCTTGGTGCACAAGGGGAGTGGGAAGAATGACAGAAGACTGAGCTCCCTTTATTCAGCTTGATTAGAAGATGGGAAAAGAGCAATTTGCCTTATTTGTCATTTTAGAAAACAATCTCTTTCAGAACAAAATATAGGCATATATATCAGTCAGCCTTATCTTTAATACTTAGATCAGGCAGCCAGGTACCTTCAGCCCACTGATTGCCTTTGCTTAAGAATACAAGAGTCAATATTTTAAATAAAGACACTGAAATTTCACTGAGGCAGCATGAGACCTTCAACATACTTCCTACTTCAAGTCAATAAGTTGAAGAACTTCAGGCAATGCCAATAAAGCCAACATTTTGGTTTTTTTACAAAACCTTTCTCAGGCAAAGTCATAAGCAATTGAAGATAACACTTTGGGGATGGATTGCTTTCCATGCTGCATAGCCAACTGCATTCTTTTAACAAAGCATTTTCTCCCAAAAGGTTCACATAACTTGTTTTCAATAATAATGGAAGAGGGAGAAAAAGTTAATTTAAAATATTCTGTTAATTCTTTTCTGTAAAGAGATCTCTCTTTCCCTTCCCAATTCTGAATGCTATAGTGCCATATCTAGGAGTAAAAAAAAGAAAAAAACCCAAATATCGCCAAACCCCACACAGAACAACTTCTTGCAATCTTCTTGAAAATTTTTCAATATCTGGTGAACTAATAAACATTTTAAAAAACTCCTGCAACCAACATACACTAAGAGACTTGAAATTTAAGAGGCAAACCTGCTGAAGAGAACCTGTATTTTAAGTTTGCTGCCTAGACAGTAATTTTTTCACCTCACTGGTTATTGTTCTGGTCTTCCTAGAATCCTCACTCAAATTCCTACAACTGGTATGAAGCAGAACACTGGCTAGCAAAAGCTACATTTTGCAAGGGGCTGGAGAGACTGGACCTAGTTGGGTGAAGAGGCTACATTTATACTAACAAATTAAAGAGTCTCATGCCACAATCATCTATAGTTAAACTGCTGTCACAGTTTTTTGGCTTGCACTGATTTGCAAGTTTTCCAAACACTGGATGAAATTCAGTGTAGGTGAGCAACAACTCTCACAGGCAGGTGGCTTGCTATGGAAAGTAGATGTTTAACCATAAAGCAGTCATTTTGGTCTCATGACTACAAAGCTGTCTCTGGCACTGCAACTGCTGGAACAGATAGAAGAGAGAAAGAGAAAAAAAAAAAAAGAAGAAAAAACTGTGGCACGGGAGACACAGGAGAGGAGGAGACCCTGCATGAAAATGGCAGTAAAGCCACACATCTAGAACCCAGGCACACAGAGATAGGAAATTTAGCAGGTTCAGCGCTATGCAAAAAGAGTTAAGACTAAAGAATTTCTGCACATTAGACCTCTCTTCTGTAACAGCTCTTTTGTTACAATAATCTTTGTTGCAGAAGACTAGAAGTAACAAGACAAGGTAGGTATACAAAACTTTTTATTGACAACAGAACAATAGAGAGGAACGTCACCACTTCCCATTCCTCAGGAATGTCTCCATTTCACAGTCAGTCTGCTAAAAGTATACTTTCATGGTAACAAGCAACACAAAGGCATGGAGCTGTCTGTAACCTCAAGAAAAATGTTTCATCAGTGCAGTGTAAAGGGACCGACAGTGTGCAGGTGTGCAGGCCCTGTCACAACACAAACATGGCAGGCAACAGTATATGCAGAGCCAACAGGCACAGACACAAAGCAGTCAGAGGCCTCAAGTTATCTCCATTATTTCCATCTAAGGGCAATACCTGACGTGCTGTTCCATCCATGTTCTGTTCCAGAAGTGAATATGTTACTCCCTCACTCCTTTTGCTTCTCCTGTCCTCAAAGATGTTAATACTTCCAGCTGAATGGTACCATGTCAGAGAATGCCCGAGCTTTTATATTTTGCTACCTCATACCAGTTCATGCATGCACTTGAGTTTACTTTCAGAAGCTTACATTGACATAAAGAAGCGGGGGGGGGGAAGTGCTGCAAAAAAGAAAAGTATTTAGTTGTTAATTCTTCCTTGTTAACAAAAATATTTGGTAGTTGTTGAATATACTCCTTGTAATGTTGTTTTCAAAAAGTACGTATGCAGTCTACTTAACATTTTAAGGAAACTGCACATCAAACTATCTCAACGTAATTTCAAATACTCAGAAATTAAATTTGAACCAAAATTCAATCTATACAACAAAATATCTTAGTTTTCAAAGTACACAGAACTGCACACTTAGTGCAAGATGAAAGCAGTCTCTCTTCTGTATTAAGCTTCCTCTGCCTGCAGAACTGTACCAGGGACCCTGTGTAGTAGCTTATACGATTATTAACATTTATTATTTTAACATGTTTTTCCTTTACTTAATGGATGTGCCTCTGGATGTATAGACTGGTTGTTAAAGTGCTTTAACATAAAACAAAAACCCAACAAAAGAAAACATCCCTCAAAAAACCATAAGAGATGAGAGAATTTTATCTGAAGGACTTTGTACAGCATTTACAATGTCAGCATAAAGCATCTGAAACATGAGCATTCCCTGCAGACTGATGCAGTGCAAGCAGTCTCATACATTAGATACTGCAATTCCTCTGGATTCAAGATGCACAATACTTACAAAAACAACCCTAGAAGCAGAGACAAATGCTGGTGGCTCTTCCTCTTCTTTTTAGAAACATAATTAAAAAATCTGCATTACTCTCTCATAATTTAAATACATAAGTAATCTCCACTTTTATTACTTCATGACAATGACTTCAAATTTACATTATTTTAAGTACCGTCAGAATAGCTCCATGTATGATACAGATATTTGCTGATATCCTGTCAGAAAATAAAAAAACCAAAACCTTCCACTATATAAAAAAAATAATGCTGGAAAGACAAGAACACAGAACAGGGACTCGGTACAGACTATGATTTCAGTTTTATATCAACCACAGTTAACCCAAAATTAACAGATACACAGCGATATTCAAAAGCAGTGCAAATATCTTTGGAGGTTAGAATAAAATTATACTACAAGAACATAAGACAGAAGAAATTAAAAGGCAAGTACTTCAAGTACAGGAACCAGTCTCTGTGAGGTCCATCTTAGTGTTAGCTGGGAGTTCCTCTTCCCATCTTACTTCTTCCTCTGGAACACATTAGCCAACATTGCACCTGATGTAGTCAGCTGGCCCATTTTGTTCAAAAACTTGGTCTTTGTATCTTCACTCACCAGACTCGCTGCAATTGACATCGAGCTAGGAAAATAAAAAATTTAGTGACATAAGACTACAAAGAAAAAAGAACATTATGCTGTTATTTATTAAACAACTAAAGTGTCTTTGCATTTTAGAGGTTTCAACATAAAAGACCAGACCATGAAGAATTGAAAAATCATCACCACCTAGTGCAAATATACACTGTTAAATCGATTTTAATGTCCTCACAGTCCTTGTGAAAATGGTAAAATATTTCTGTCCACACTACTTTTTGGTACCTTTGGATGTCCCCACATTAGCATTTATTACGTATTCAGCAATTGCTCTAGTGACAAATACCTCTGTGAAAGATTGGCTTTACCTTCTCAGCAGAAATGTCAATCCTTAACTTTTTTTTAGTATAAGTATGACAGTACTGGTTCAGACATGGACCTACCTAGTCTGAGTATCCTGCCTCCAACAGTGACCACTAGCAGACATGTACAGAAGAGTAGAAGCAAGGCATGTACAAAACAAGCGACCTCTTGTCTTAATTTTTAACTGTCTTGTTTTCCAACTATTTCCAACCTGAGCAGAGTATAAAACTGGGTGTAGATTGTCAATCTAGTAACTTCCAATAAAGCTTTATTTTTATTGATCAGCTTTCCTTTGATCTCCTTGTAAATGTCTTGTAAACCCCACCCTGAGTTATACTGGGTCAGCCCCTCGCTGGGTAAGGAGCATTCTCCTTCTGATTGTTGTGAATGTGGCTCCTACTACCCGTGCTTGAATGTTCCTACTTCATACATACTAGATAGGACAATGAAGAGTCCACAGGTTTGCCACAAACTGGACTGGAAGGAGCAACCCAATCAGTGCTGAAGCTACAACATGCTACAACTTTGAACATGTTAAGAAATTATCCAAATGCTGTGAAATTAAGATTTTTGTTTTTAATTTACAACATATCAGTGAGCTCAACTTCAGATATATATAACTATATATATATATATATATATATATATATATATAAGCATAGTAGGAGTAATCTGTCTCAAGACAGAACAAATGTACAATAGCAGGAATACTAATAAATATTCCATACTTCCCATATTTGTAGGAAAACGTTTCCCATTTTAACAACATTAGATAGGGCCAATTTTAAAAACATTTCCAATTAAATTCTCCCTTGTAAGCTCAGCATGGACTCTGCATTTCAAAATTATACATAAGACCACAAAATATGCCTTACTGGCATAGGCCAGATTCCAGGAACAGCCTTTTCAGTTTGCAAGGTTATAAACAGTTCTGTTAGACACAGCTGCATCAAGGCAGGTCAAGTTGAAGTTAACTGCTTCAACAGAACTTGAATGATTTCTTCAAAGTGAGCAGGGTTGCGCTTAGTACTTTTTCCCATTTCATACCACAAAAAAAGGTGCTTAGTGATAATGAATTCTGGTTCTTTTTAAAGTACCTTAAAAAACAAAAGGAAGCTTCTCACTAAAGCTGTACTGTAGATTTACAGATAGTTTAATTATAAACTTTTTAAGTCAAATATTTCTTTCAGGCACAATCAATATCTTTGGCTTGATTATACACCTCCCATCAAGTAATGAATCACCTATTTCCAGCTGATAAAACTTAGCAGGTAAATTACTGCTACTGTAAGATGCAATTTCCTTTGATTTCATGATAAAGCAAGGGCATATAAATTACGTAAATAACAGTTTAGACTCGCTATCAGCTGGTTAAGGACAAGAAGCTATTCCTGACTGACGTATCCTAGAGTTGTGTGTAACGAGGAAAAATTATTTGGAAAATACTATACCTTCCAAGCATAAGCAGCACTGAGAAAATAAAACTGCCCACTTCAGAAAAGAAAGCCCATCAGCTGGTAACAAACCTGTAGTTTTCAAACAAACTGTGCTTTCATTATTCTAATATTCCTGAATAAGTTTGAGGAAACCCAGGAAATGTACTATTGACATTCAAAACAGTTTTGGGGGAATATCAGCCATCTGCTGTCAAAAATTAAAATTTAACAACTGAAGTGTCTAGGACTTCGTGTTTTCTATTACTATGTTACTGCAAATATAAATATAATCCACAGCACTCAGCAGACTTAAAATATGCCACCAAAGTACTTATATTACTATGCAAATTGAACATTTAAACATATCAATAATATGAAATCAAGTAATCTGAGTCTCACATCTTCAAAAAGTAATCAGAGATCCAAATAAGGCAGTAGCATATCTTGTTTGAAACAATTGGTCCTATAGAGAAGTCCTTGCATTTATTAATTATTTAAAAACCAAAGCAAAACCCAACCCACAAACAAAAAAAATGTGTAAATGTCAAATTTTTGACCAGTGTCTAGATGAATTACATGCTACATAGAGTTCTGCCTGTTTTATGGGAAAGCTCTAGGCCAAAACAAACATTCATGCTGGGCATTTTATAAAAATCAGCTTGTAACGTAAGTTCTTAGCCATGACTGAAATACCTTGTTGATTGTTAAAGAAAATGCTTAACAGAAGTGGCTCTCCAATATATAAAAATGCTAAGTTTAATCTTCTTAAAAAACTATTTCTTTGACCCCATATTATTTGACAAACCTTTTCTAACAGCAAGGGGGAAAGACAAGATTATCAGCAGCATCTTATGATTGCTTTTGTATCTGTTTTTATTTCTGTGCATGCATTCTCATGCTGTTAACAAAACCCAGTAATTTATATCCCAGTTGCATTTAAATCCTTTGTCAAATATATAATTGTCACTGAAATTAGGAACTGAAATTAGCAAGGGCTTAGGGAAAAAAAGGAGATATTTATGTATATGAAAAGGTCATTTCTTCAGTGGTAAAATATTTCTTGTTAATTTTGTACAGTAAAAGATCAGACCATAGTCTGATTTTTAGTAAAAAAGGGGAAGGCTAATTAAGGAAGAGAGGAACACACTGCAAAGACTTATCCTTTTCAAAACTTAAGTTTTCAGCAGTTGCATCCTAAAAGAAAATATACTAGATGTTGTATCAGGTTTGCATTTACTGGTTTCTGCAATGGCTTAATAGGACTAACTGTGATTTCGAAGTATTTACTACCAGCAATCCCTGAAATATCTTATTTGATGCATGAGAGACTGACCCTTTTTCCACACCACATTTCTTCTGTTCAATTCTTGTACAGCTTTCCTATTTTGGTAATTCTCAAACTACCAGTTGCTTCCAGGACCATGCCTGAGCTCTTTCAAGAAGTAAATTCTATCCATTTGTTACAGATATGGAAGTGTGACACAAACAAGCTTCAGTAACTCCCTCAATTCCCATGGCAAAGTATTGGGATTGAGGACAGATTTTCTCTTAAGATACCTACTGTTTCTTCTCAAACTCTTCCTGGCAACACCACTAAGGATTTATTAAGTTATATAATTATCCATGAGAAGTTACCTGTCAGGACGCCATTCCAAGCAACAAGCATGCAAAAGAGCACATACAACTCATCATAATAACACTAGGCTTTCCAAATCTCCATGTCCAATGTGGGTCTGTTAGCTACCTTTCTTTTCAGGAAATTCACACAGGTAGCCCAATTTATACACTGGAGAAGCTGTTTTTGTGTTTACTAGTCACAGGCAAGCAAGGTCAGCAGCCTGGAGCAAGCCATTCTCAGGACCAGAACAATTCCCTCAGCCTGCAGGTTGCCCCCACCCAGGGTGGCAAGGTGGGTACCACATACCTTGCTCTAAGCACTTAGGCCAGACACCTCCTGCTTTCTCAGATTCAGGACAGAAATTTAAATACTGCTTTAAATGGATAAAAAATTAAGGACAAAGTAACACGGGAAAACAAGAAAGTCATTGCTATTGATACAAATAAATATTTCTTGTCCTGTCTTTTTCACTGGAGACAGAAACAACCACAAACTGTGTTAAAGTTCCTAAAATCTGTTTTCAAATACAGAATATGTCAGTATGGGATTTCTGGTCACAAACCTTGGACACCATTATGGAATACAGTCTGCAGAACATTACTCTGGAGACATATAAAAAAAAAGGAAGTGGAAGTCTTACCCTTGTGGTTCTTGGACGGTCTTGTTTTCCACTTTCTGTTCACACTCTTTTATCATGGAGCTCAAAATAACCTAAGGAAGAGAGATACATGACATTTGACATTTTTCCTTTTACGTTAACACTTCTTACGAAATGTACTCTGCAACTAATTCTGACATTAGCGGAACTGTTTGAAAAGTTTTTTTGTTCTCCAGTTACCTGATGTCTTGTGGCTAGAAACAACAAAAATGTTCAAAATACCTTAAGGAAGTAAATGTTTTTGAAACAGTTACAGGAGTTCCAGATGTCCTCCTGTTTCCCCTCATTTTCTGAAATAAAGTGAACTTGCTTCTATGACATACCATATCTTCATGAACATTATGCATGAAAGAAAAAGGAAGGGAAAAAAAAGTGTGATGGCATCCCGAGACAACACCTTAATGGAAAGGAATTGCTAAAGCAAACTTGGTATCCTTCCACTGGTGTCTTCCAGGGTTCCTATGAATCATGGCTTTTTTCCTTTATTTAAGCAACTGTAGTGTTAAAGGTTTCTGCAAAGTATTTAAGACTGAAAACACCTCCACACTGACATTTTCACATTTCTCCAAAAATAAGGAATGATTCCCAGGAGTAGGCTTTAAAAAAAAAAAAAAATACAGTTCATGGGACAGGTATATGGCTCCCTGCCCTGCTCACACAGTACTTAATGTGTACACACACATTAAGACAAAAAGCATTTGAAACACTTAGGCAAAACAGTTAGGCAAATGTGCATAATGCAAAATGTGAAACTATAAATATATATATGTATATGTACATGTATATATACACACACACACTGCATAAGTGGAAACTTACGCTGCTCACAGCTCAGGAGAAAGCGAAGCAATTTTTTTTGAGACACTAAACTTAAAATCTCAAAGCTACAAGCAATATAAATTAGTAGTGTCTTACCAAACCATAATATATACAATAAAGGAAAAAACCCCAATTTCAATCTTTAAAATATGGATCAGTCACTAATGGTTACTACCAGCTGGTAACTGTTTTTAAATGTATTTATACACATTAAGAAGCTGGTTTCTGTCAAGTTGCTTTGGACATCTGCAGCACAACCTTTAATTACACTGGTAAGAAGTGGCCTGGTCTACAGATCTGTGCCACCCCTCACTCTATTTCTCCAAAAATATTACTCCAGCATTTAAAACGTTTTAGGTAGCAGGTGTTATATACACTTGAATGTTTCAGAGAGCAGCATTCGAAAAGGACTACAACTCTTACTGCTAAATCTGCCGTCCTTCATTTGCATAAAACATTATACAAGGTACTTAAACTCAGTAGTACAGAGATACAAGACAAATACATTCAGAACTCCTGTGAAAAAGCAAGCTTTTTGTTCTGTATCAAAAAATCACCTGAAATTTATAAGTACAGTGGCCATAATTTTGGTTACTTAGCATTTCTACCTGTGCACTGGAGCTTTTCTACATTTTTGTACATCTATCTGAATGTAGATGTTCCAAACATCAACAATATGAAGTCTTGATCAAAGGGGAGAAAAATTCATCAGGGACTCAGAATCATTTCAGTAACATGATGGAGTTGCTGGCCATTGCACACCTCCTTCTGGGAAGGCTTTGTTAATTTTTGGATGAAGTGGAGCAATTCTTTCCTCTTTCCCAAATCAATTTATCTTAAAGGTAAAACAGAGGAAAGATATAAATATAATATCATATGGCAATTCTACATTATGGCTTTGCACATACTGCTCTGACCTGTTCCCTTGGGTTCTCTTTGTTTGATCCTAGGACTGATTATGAAATCATGTAGACCTCCTTTAAGAGAGAGATTTTAGAGTTGTAACTCTATATTTAAAGACATTTAAGAGATATAACATGTTTAAGTATTATAAACAGTATATGGACTAAATATTTTCATCAAGTACTGACTATATCTCATTATCATGCAACTCACAATCCAGTTATTTTGAAAATAAATAGAAGGCAAGTGGAGAAGAGGGAAGAAGGGACTTAACATTGAACTAGAGATGCTGGTAAAGTACCTGAAATGTTTGCACAAGGTGAAATGTTTCTTTTAAAGATGAGAAGGTCTGGCCTAAATGCCCAACTTACTCTTTTGTTTATATGAAAAAAGGAAAGCAAGTATGAGGGATAAGTGGTAAATGTTGCCCGACAGGATCACAAGCGAATTCCACAAATGTTACCTTTCCAAGATAAGCATAAACTCTGTACTGATGTTAGAGCCATAAAAACTAAGGCTCTGTAAATGAGAAAACCATAGAATCAGCTAGGTTGGAAAAGACCTCTGAAATGATCAAGGGTTGGACTTGATGCACTACCACCACAGTTAATAGACCACGGCACTAAGTGCCACATCCAGTCTTACCTTAAAACCTCCAGGGACAGAGAATCCACCACTTCCCTGGGCAGCCCATTCCAATGCCTGATTACCCTCTCCGTAAAGAATTAATTCCTAATATCCAACCTAAACCTTCCCTGGCAGAGCTTAAGACCATGCCCTCTTGTCTTACTGAGAGCTGCCTGGGAGAAGAGACCAACCCCCACCTGGCTACAACCTCCGTTCAGGGAGTTGTGGAGAGTGACGAGGTCTCCCCTGAACCTCCCCTTCTCCAGGCTAAACAACTCCAGCTCCCTCAGCCTCTCCTCATAGGATTGGGGCTCGAGTCTCTTCACCAGCCTTGCTGCTCTTCTCTGGACCTGCTCCAGCACCTCAATATCCTTCCTGAACTGAGGGGCCCAGAACAGGACACAGTACTCCAGGTGTGGCCTCACCAGTGCTGAGTACAGGGGAAGAATCACTTCCCTGGACCTGTTGGCCACACTGTTTTTGATACAGGCCAAGATGTCATTGGCCTTCTTGGCCACCTGGGCACACTGCTGGCTCATGTTCAGCTTCCTGTCAATCCAAACTCCCAGGTCCCTTTCTGCCTGGCTGCTCTCCAGCCACTCTGTGCCCAGCCTGTAGGGCTGCAGGGGGTTGTTGTGGCCAAAGTGCAGGACCTGGCACTTGGCCTTATTGAACCTCATCTCGTTGGAATCAGACCATCTCTCCAGCTTGTCCAGGTCCCTCTGAAGAGCCCTCCTGCCTTCCGGCTGACCAACACTCCCCTACAACTTGGTGTCATCTGCAAATTTGCTAATGGTACACTCAATCCCCTCATCCAGATCATTAATAAAGATATTAAACAGAACTGGGCCCAACACTGATCCTTGGGGGATTAGTGACCGGCTGCCAACTGGATGCAGCCCCGTTCACCACCACTCTCTGGGCCCGGCCCTCGCAGCCAGTTCCTAACCCCACAGAGAGTGCCCCTGTCCAAGCCATGGGCTGCCAGCTTTTCAGGACATGGCTTATGGTAGATGCCGTAGTCAGAAGGCTTTTGCTGAAGTCCAGATAGACCACATCCACAGCCTTCCTCTCATCCACCAGGCGGGTCACCTGATCATAAAAGGAGATCAGGTTGGTCAGACAGGACCTGCCCTTCCTAAATCTGTGCTGGCTGGGTCTGATCCCTTGTCCATCCTGTAGGTGCTGTGTGATTGCACTTCGGATGATCTGCTCCATAACCTTGCCAGGCACTGAGGTCAGGCTGACAGGACTCTAGTTTCCTGGGTCCTACTTCCAGCCCTTTTTGTGGATCGGTGTGACATTCGCCAACTTCCAATCATCTGTACTTTTGTAAGTCATATAACCATTTGAATTGTGAATAACACGAGAGTAACCAAAATACTGAGAAAAGGGTTAATTCTGTTTATGCAAATATCTAACTATTTGAGATAGTAAATGGCATTTATTTCAGAAAACTACTTTAAGACAGAAGGCTTCCAAGACAGACACTAGAACTAACCAGGCCTCAAAGCCTCTACCACAGTGCAAATATTTTTAATTTTATATTTCTCTCCAGTTAAAAAACAAAGCACTTGGCATCATGCCTGAAGCCACTTAATCACAGTGATGCAAAATGTAGTAATGGAGGATTGAGAGCTGTCTTTCCTTATTGATTTATTTTTAATCCTATTCAAGTCCTCAGTTCCTTCTCTGACTAACAAGACAAACTCAGTCAAATAAGCTCTTTTGTTCTAATTCAGGGCATCTTTTGAACTGACTGTGGCCTTAAACCTTAGAAGTTGCATTAACTACAAAAATGAAGTAAGCAGTATTTGTATCAGTTATCCCATTAGTGAAGGAAAATTAAACTTTTGCCTACTGCAGCTTTCAGATATATTCTTAAGACTTCCCAAACCACAATACATCTCCCAGGTCTCTCTGAACACAGTATCTATCACTGCCACATCTCCAGTGCTGCCTGTGGTAAAGAAGCACAATTCTGTTGCCTTTGACTGATGCTCAGTTTACTACTGTTCCTCCTGACTCACCCTTCTGAAGTCAGATTCTTTCCTTTTAGGTCGCAAAGTTCCTCAAATAATAATATACAGAAATTAAAAGAATGAGACTATTAGATTAAAAATGTAACTGGAAGAAGGAACTTTGTTACTGAATATAAGGACTTAGGACTCCTAGAGAATACAGTCATTTCAAGTAAGTCACTTTTGCAAACATAAGGAAAATAAAATTAATTTTCTCATATACAATGTAATCCATGAAAGTGCAGTATTAACCTTCAAAGACCACAACAATGTTCCTTTGTACATTCTGATTAAATCTTTTTCTTCATCTCTTGAAATGTTCATCCTGCTAAGGTTTCCTCCAACATGCAACTAAACTATGTCTCTTGTTTTCAGCTGCTGACTTAACATCTATGTGTTTCAATCAGATACTATTCATCTTCTTCAAGTATTTACAAAAAGTGCATATACCAAGATTTACAAGTTTCTCAAGTTGGCTTCTCATTGTAATTCTTCTAGTTTGCTGCTTTCTGTAAGCTCCTCCTACCAGAGAAAATCATGTTTGCTTCTGTGTTGTCCTATCTGCTTATTTTAATCTGCTTTTTACAATTTACAGAATCACAGAGGGGTTGAGGTTGGAAGGGGCATCTGGAGATCATCTGGTCCAAGCCCTTGCTCAAGCAAGGCCATCTGGAGCCAGCTACCTGTGGCACGGAGACTCCACTACCTGTTTGGTCAATCTGTGCCAGTGCTCAGTCACTCTCACAGTAAAAAAATCCTCTGCCAGTGCCTCTGGTCCTGTCACTGGGCACCACTGAGAAGAACCTGGCTCAGCCCTCTTTGGACCCTCAGGTGTTTGTCTATATGCTGATGCCCCTGAGCATTCTCTTCTGCAGGCTGAGCAGTCCCAGCTCTCTCTGCCTCTCCTCCAGTCCGGTCATCATCTTTGTGGTCCTTCACTGGACTCTCCCCAGTAGATCCATGCTTCTGTACTGGGGAGCCCAGAACTGGACATGGTACTCCAGATATGAAGTACATTCCATGTATTTCAGGACTATACTTTCCTCATTTTTGATTTCTTTCCTAAACTCCACCAACTTTCATCTGTATTTCTTTGGATATATTGTAGCCATTCATTTTAGTGTATCCTTGTTTTGATGAAAAAGAAAGATGGTAAAAACATTAATTTTTCTTCAGTCTACAAAGATCTGTTTCTACATGAATTTCTGACAGTTGAATATTTCTCTGCAGAGATCTTCAGTTTAGAAATAAATTTAAAAAGCTTTTATTGTTTTTTAAATAATGTGACCTACTCCTTATAAAAAACCCCCTATGTTTTGATACACTTATGAGCAGTTCTCCTTAAATTCTGGTTTTAAATACCATTACATTTTAACTTTTTCTGCCACCTGCATCTCATACTCAGTAAACAGCTGCTCACCTCATGCTCCGGTGAGAGATGTTCCATGTCAGTTCGTAAACACTTCAGTCCTGGTAAAAAGTGATTGACCATTAAATCCTCTGAAATAACTAAAAACCAGGTTATTAAGGTATTATAAGGATTGAATTCTGAAATTATACAAGTTTTTGTCTGTCTTCCGATAATGTCATTCTGTGGAACACATAGACAGCAGCAAAACTAAGAAAATTTCATGATTAATAAAAAGCAAAAAGGATCTTAAACATATTTAACATCATGTATTTCACACATCCATACCATTCATTTAGTATTGTTTCTTAATTTACTGGTCAAGATCAAGGGTTTTGATTTTGTAGCTTTGTTCTATTAAAAGTATCTATCAGTTCCACTGTATTGGGTTGGGCTGAGAGTGAGTTCACCTTCCCATAGGAGCTCTCACAGTCCTGTGCTTTATGCTGGTACCTGAAAGGCGTTGATAACACACCAGTGTTTTGGCTACTGCTGAGCACCACTGGCACAGCATCAGTGCTGTCTCTCCAACATTCCGCCCCTGACCAGCAGGCTGTGGGTTAGCAAGACCTTTAGAGGGGACACAGCCAGGACAGCTGACCCAAACTGACCAGAGGGATATTCCATACCATATGATGCCTGCTCAGATACAAAAGCTATGAGAAAGTAGGAGGGGCTGTGGGAGGCATTTGTTATTATGATGTTACTCTGCCAGAGCAACCACTACGTGTGCTGAAGCTCTGCTTCCCAGGAAGTGGTCGGACATTGTTTGCTGGTGGAAAGCAGAGAATAAATCTTCAGTTTTCCTTTGTTTCCATGCATGGCTTTTGTTTATTAAACTGCCTTTATCTTGACCCATGAGTTTTTTCTCCATTTTATTTCCCCCCCACCTTTCCCCCATCCTCCTGAGGAGTAGAATGGCTTGGTTGGTATCTGGTGTCCAACTAACCCACCACATTTACCATCTGTGAAAACCTCTTCCTTATGCTGAATATATCATGTTTTACCTCACATATTCAAAGACAAACTTAGTTATTTCTCAAGTATTAAACTTCCACCACCACCACAGAAGTAACAGTTAAAGTTCCCCCCAAAAAAGGATACAACAACAGGAAAGAGCACTGTAGGATTCAAACAGGTGGGTAGCGATATCCAGTCTCTTCGAATCCACAGACTGCTGGTTGTTGACCAAGGCTAACTTGTGCAAGTGTGGAATAACAACTGGAAAAGTAAATACGGGAATAAGTGTTTGAAATTGCTTTCCACAGACTTGTTTAGCATTAAACAGTTGCTATGTGGCAATTGCAGACACCTGTGTGCCTGCAGGCACACACAACAGTGTGGAAAAAGAACTGCAAATAATTGCTTTTGATGGCACTGCCCTTGCAGATTTAACTGATCAACTCAAACTTGAAATAAAGATTGTGGTAGCACCACTTGAAATAAAAATGTATCTCAGAGTACCTTTGAAATAGTAACAACTCATAGGAAAAAAAAATCAATATAATCAGCATACCTATTAGCTTTTGGACAGAAAGAGCAAGACTGCATCTTCTCACAGATGCAACTTACATTCATCTCTAAATCTGGGCTCAGCATTAGGTCCAACTCTTCCAAATGTCTTTATGATTTCTGTATGTAAAGAATGTTGGTCTTGATATTGAGGGTCTTCCAGGAAAGATGCCAGCTGCATTTTTACTCTCTCCAGAAGCTTAAATATTCCCAGAGAAACAGAAAGAACACAAAAGAATGAAGATGTTAGAAATTGTTATGGTCAATTCAGAGTATGTTTATAATCTTCCATATTTCAGATGACAAATGTTAGACTTTCTTCTAATTTACTTTTTTTTTTCCTAACAGGATGTTCCAAACTCTTCAATGCAGCTTTATGCCTTAAAGACTGTTAACAGGGTTTTAATCTGATTTATCTTTTAACTACAGAGAGGTGCTTCCATAGAGCTGGTCTTTCCTCCTGAGGTTTCCTTGGGTTTGACACTCCCATTTTTTACCTATTAAAATTTCCCACTTGCTATTAATAACTATGGAGTTTTCTTGTTTAATTAGAACTTCATTAATGAGATTTTTTATAATGTAGCTCAATTAATAGGCTGAAAAATTTTCTGCAGAGGACAGAGATGCAAAAGTAACCATTATAAAATCAATGGAATTAAAAAGATTTCTTCAACTAAAGGTTAGAAAAATGGAAAATAAAATTACGTAAGTACTTTATTTGCGTTCATAGTTGAAAAAATAATATTTTATGATACATTTAGGAAGGTGCTATCACCTCTGTACTCTAAGGCTTGTTTTAATTAGTGCAATGGATACAGTAATTTCTGTGTGGTAACAAAACAATATTCTTCCCAACTGATTATAGGCATGCATTCCAAGCTACAAAATTCTAACTTTTCCATCTTCTAAGTGCTTGTGAGTCATCACTGACTTGACTCACATTACTCACATTTCCTCAAACACATTCTTTTAGAATATGTTGAAATTACGGGAAGAATGCAAGCTCTGCAAAAAGCTGCAAAGATTTTAAGAAGAAATTCAATTGTACAGTTGTTATATAAAATAAAATCCAGCATTTCTACTGCTTACAGCAGAATCCTGGGTGTCTTCAGAATTCTGATCTATTACCAAAGTCTCATCATTTAAAAAGAAGGAGGAATTGCATCTCTACATTATCCTCAAGGATTATTTTGGTAATGTCACTATGTCTTTTAGTGCCATTCTTGAACATCAAGCAGATATGACTGGAACTACAAGAGACTTGTCCTCTCTTCTAAAATAGTTGGGAGCCAAGCAGGATATCCTAAAGCATCTAAAATGGTAGAATATACTTATGTGGAGGTAACTGACTTCCATCATGTCTTTTTGGTTAGCATTTTAAAATAAAGCTTTTTTATTTGGAAATAATGGAGTTAGATTTCACAACCATACCAGACAATGTTTTAACAAACATTTTGAGCATGGGATTTCCCATCTTCTAGCACAGGCCTCCCCTTTACTTATCCATCTCTCTTTGTTTATGTTTGGTTTGATATTTAGAAGGGAATGTTTTTATTAGTTAAGAATTTGTTTCCAAAAGAACAATAAAAAAAAAAAGGCTGTTGCAAAACCGGAAAGCATTTTGGAAGAGAATATGACAAAAAAGGAAATAATTTATAAGCTGCCCTTTCTTTTACTCTGGATTTATAAAAAAATTATCCATCTACTATGCTACAAAACCAGCAGCCTGACAACAGGTGTTTTACCTCTCTCTGAGTAACAGTTTCCATGATGGTCCCAAAAGCAGGAATTGTAGCAATCCTTACTGAACTACAATGGAAGAATAGAGTCTTTACAATGTATTCAACATTAAGAACAAAATTAATAAAAGCAAAATTAAAAAATTAGAACTTTTAAGTTACACATTAGTTTCTAGCAATGACACACACAAAAAAGAAAGCAGGCCAGGAAAAAGACAGACAGGATTAACTCAAGGTCTCAATCTGAAACTCACAATTCAGGATCACTGGACAAGGTAACAAGGGCCGGAGCAACCCGCTTGTCAACTAATGCTTCACTCATGCCTCGAAGAGTCAGCTGTAAACCAGTCAACATGCAATAAAAAACGGTTTGGTAAACTTGAAGAACTGGGTTAGCTGTGACTGAGGATGGGCAGGTAGACTCTTGGGGTTGTTCTTGGTTTAGTCACCCACACAAGACATTAAAGCGACTAAGACTCTATTCATGCTGTAGCATTTGTTAGTAACAACCTGTTAGTGAGATTAGCAAAAGCATCCCTCCTTAGCCTGAAAGAAATATCACATCAGAATGTCCAGGAAATGAAGTACCAAAGTTGTCTATCAGAAATGAGGTACGGTCAAAACTACTTGGCATTTCATTAATGCAGGTGACACTTAATTTAGCAGTAGTAAGCTGATAGCATTACAAAATATAGTAATATCCAGCTTTCTGCTAGAAATGATTTAAGCAATTTGAAAACTGAGAATATGATTAAATATAAAAACCCATAAAAATATATTAAACGGATCTAAGTTTTCTATTTAAATTTTATTCAGCAGTTTTATCCAGTTTAGTTCTAGGCATTGCAGTAAAACTTTTTATTTAAAAATAAGTGATTTAAAGGTTACATTTGCTTAAAAGTAATCCAATTTTTGTTCAGCTAGACTAAGAAACATAACTGATGGTTATTTCTTTTTAAGTATTAAGAGGGATGCTATGTATATAAGATAGTCAGGGAACTTACATTTCAGGGTCACTGGAGAGAGTAATGAGAGCAGGAACAACTCTCTGAGCTACCAGAGTTTCATGAACCCCCTTCACCAACAGCTGAATGGTCGGAGCAGGGGGATATCACAGGCGATGCACGGAAAGAGCGAGCACAGTATCATGGGAAGAAGAGTGGCACAACCAAGAGAGAGAAAGAAAAAACACAAAAAGCGAACCAAAATTAGAAGCTAAGCAAATACTGCTACACTAGTGCTTCGTAAATGCAAAGGCATGAAGAAAGCTGAGGTGGTCTGGCAATCAGCACAAACATGACAAATTCAACAATACAATGTTTTCTCTATTTTCAGATATTTTAAAACTTGAACTCACAGCTTGAGCAAGTAACTGTGTATTATAATTCAAATACTAATTATGTATTATAATTATAAATAAAATTATGTATAACTAAATTCTAAACCAATGCCAATCTGAGTTTGACAATTTAATCTAAATGCTGCTCTTAACTCAATACAATGGCATTTATCATAGTAGGTGGCTGTCACATGCAAAACAGATGTCTTGAGTAGGCCAAATGCAGTTTTCCCACACTGACTGATACCTTTCACACCTTTTACAATGTGACAAACAGCACCTTCCCAGATGCCAAAAAGCTTTCCTGAAAGTCATTCAGGACTACTTTACATTTAACCACCATCCAAGCAGTATATATGCTGGTCTATGCAGGTAGGAAATGGAAAATCCTTGAAATATCCATGAAACGTACTTCATCAAGTCTTTTTGCAAACTAAGGAATAGATGTATTTTTTGCAATACATCCCGAATTTTAAAAACTTGAAATCACAGTGGAATTTATTATCCATGAACATGAGAAAGTCGTTTGAATTCAGATGTTCCCAGGTGATCTGTTTTACATTACGTATGTAGCTATACATCAGCATTTACTGTATATGTTGCAGATGCCCTTTACATGTTTTCTACATACAAAAAGCTGCTAATTTTCAAAAATGACAAGCTGCACACTTTCTCCAGATATTCAACAAAACAGAGTGGTTTTTGTCTTCATTAATAAAAAGAGGAAAGCCTAGATATTTCCATTTTGAATCTCATGTAAGGAAGTCTGCATGTATTTGCTGGTTTTAGGAGATAAACATAAAAAGCTAATCAGTAAGTTCATGTGAGAAATTTGAAATGTCTTTTTAATATTTAGCCATATTCTAACTACTCACATTACATAATGAGCACAAATTAAATTCTAAGTTTTTCCCCTAGCAGTGCAACAAGAGATCCACAGAGCATGGGGAAAGCAGTGGCTGTCAGTATATCAGTACTAAAATCAGGCAATATTTACACCCTCTAACTAGAGAAGATTTTATATTCTATTTGTTTGAGCATTCCTGCTTTACCAACTCTGAATATCAATTGAAGAAAGTTGTGAAAGATTGGAAGGAACCTGACTTTCCGGAAGCTTCTATACAAAGCAGTCATTTTTATTTAGCAATATTTGTGTGTGCATGTATGTGCATGCATGCAAGTGTGCACACAGACACGGAATACAGTGTGGCCTTAAGGTAGTAACTAGGGAAGGAAGAATGGGGAAAAGCTGTAAAAGAACATATGCATTATTGCTGCAAAGCACCTGGAGGGAAAAATTTGCAGCTTCCTATACTTGTTACTCAGAAAGTATTAGGAATATCAGTTCAACTACAGCATTTTAACATTAATACATTTCACAATGAGTTAACACTGGTGACAACTTAAAGTGCTGATCTGTTGAGTTTATGGGCTACTCTTCAAACAGCTGTTAAGGACATAGTTCACTGGTTATGATGATCTTACTCTCAGATACAGATTTACCAATTTTCCATTTATTAAACTAGAGAATGCTTCCTATTTTCAATCTTGGGGAAATAGGGACTCAAGTTTTCTTTACCAATCTTCATTTTGAGAAAGACCTAGTAGTGCTTAGAATAAAAAATGCTTGGGATTTGTGTAATTAGCAAACAATTTAGAATGATCTCAGCTTCATTACTATGTGGTCTACCACACTTCTAAGTATGGTAAAGCACAGTAAACAGAAAATAAAACATGCTTTATAACACAAGTGTCATTCTGAAGATAAGTGGTCCTAGCCTTGAACCTAAACAGACCAATAAAGCTTATATATAACTCAACTACGCACTTCATGTTCAAATCAGCAGCAATCAAATCCGTTTGCATCAATATTCAAACAGGAAACTACTGACTGAAAACATTAATATATAGAAGCGACAGAAACAGCTGGATGGACAAAGCCATGTTAGCAGCATGTAAGGTTGGAGGGAGACAGACAATGTAAATTTTTATCCTGTTTTAATTCCTCTAGATCATTAGTCATACATACTACACCTTAAAAATGGCAGCACAAAGCTGCCTGCCACCAAAGGAGTGAAGCAGTAGAATGGCTCCAAATCACTTCGGTGTCCTTCCAATCTTTAATGGACTGTAATGGTTGGGTAATGCAGATGGGCCTGTGGTTTCTGTGCTGCTCAGAATCTTTATTGTTCCCATACAGTTGTCCTGCAGGTCACATACTCTTTATCTTATTACCTAATTGCTGGCCTTTGCCATTCAGCAGCCTCTGAGGTGTCAGATTCCTTGAATGAGGAATCTTCCAATAGTAAAACCAACTATTACCACTTTACACAGATGACGTCCCAAATTTATGTACTGCCATGTATAAATATGTATGCTATGGCTATCAATAAAGTGACAATATGCTACTATTTTCGAGTGTCTAAAATAAAGCTGCCTGTGCTTTAGTAAAAATTGAAGTATGCTAGGAAACTATAAATCTAAAAGAATGTATAGATCGCCTAAAAATAATCAACATGCAATTGAATTTGAAAAGAAACTGCAATCAAGGCAACAGCCTGTTGTAACTGAGGTCTTTCATATTTGGCTAACACGTATTAAGAAAAGAACCCCTTGTTATTACAAATATGATATAAGAAATATTTTTGTTAGATTAAAAATACTCAAACATTTTTTAAGGGTGTCCAAAAATCGTCATCTTCTTTTTAAAGGGAGAAGAGGGAGAAAAAAGTCTCAGGATAGTGCTTATTCTGACTGTTTACTGTCTTATCTGCTATGAGTTCCAGAGTTGCAGTAAAGAATGCTAATGGATAAATTAAGTGCTCTTTTTTTCAGAGGCAGACTTGAGATTTCTTTTTGCAAATGGATACAAAATGGCAGGTTCAGCTAGAGGTCCACTGCAGAGCTATTGAAATGAGTCAAATGTAGAAGAAACACAATAAAAAAAAAGAGTAATGCTGATTAGAAAAATGTGTTTCTAGCATGCAAAGGAAAAAAGTTTCTCTTTATGCAGCAAGAGGAGTATGTCTGAGTATGTCCTAGGGTTTTTGCATGAGCCTTTTAAAATGAACATGTGATGAAACAAAGGCATAAAGTGGAAATAAAAGCAAACTTATTAGCTATATGTATCAGTCTTTATCCTGACCAAAATTTACAGATGTTAGGGGAAAGATGGAGCTGTCATTATGAGGCATGTAAAGTAACTGTAGATTATTTTAAATTATTTTCATTTTTACAAAAAATACAGAATTGGTTACATGTATGTCTTCACCACCTTATCTGGTACCAATGAAAACTAGTTTGAATTACAATACAAGTGTATTGTATGAATATACACAAAACCTACTGAAAAGGATAACTGTGAGTTAGATACTCATGATGGGTTGAGTAGTAGAAGTTAAAACTCAGAGATGCTTGATATGTTTAACTACGTACCTACAGAGAGATGAGCTGTTGAACAGAAAACAGATACAGAAACAACTGCATGACAACCTTCTGCTCCATCACACAGTACACAGCTTATTTGTTTGTAATTATTAAGAATTACAACATTGCCTGAACCCCTGTTTTTAAAAGTAAACTCTAATTTTAAAGAGGTGCAAAAAAAGTTTGGATAACACTTACCTCAAACATTCTAGCAGCTGTACATCGAACAAGAGCAGAAGTATGGACAACTCCATACCATAAAACAGTTAAAAGCAGCTCATGATAAGCTGGGTTTGCACTAAAAGAAAATAGTTGGGCAATCAATCAAACAAAAATACTTCCAAACCCTGTTCTTTACCTGCAAAATGTAGTCTTAAGAATCCATTGTTCAACAAATCTAAAACTCCACCATTTATCCTTTCTGAAGGAAACAAAACATCTATCTCATTTTGAAGGACAAGCAACATGTTGCAGTCCAGAAAATATGTTGCATGTTCAAATAATTAAAAACCCCTACAACGTTAAGAACATAATTTTCAATAAATTATGATATTGAATGCAAATACATGAAAATAGTATGGTAAATACAAAATTAATTTCTATTGTATTCTCAATTAGTGATTTTTGTGGAAATTTTGTGTTTCCTTTTTACACGTCAGAATTACTTTTATCACTACATTTTTAATCCAGAGATTGCATTTGCACCAAGAAAAAAAAAAGCAAGTATACCCTTTATTCACCCAAAGCACTACAGTTATTAACATTACAGCCAGATTACCAGCTTTTAATAAAAGCTTCTAATGTATTTAGATCTAGTCAATACCAAGGTGTACTCTTTACCCTAGTTCCACAAAGGAAGCTTTCAGGCTATCAAGAGGAGCATGGGATAGTGAAAGCATGGTCATTACATCTTCTAGAAATCCAACTAACAGCTTGCGGTCTTCTTCCTGAAAGAAGAGAGTACAATGATGAATGTAGTAGAAGTGTTGTGATGACAACCTACAGGTACCAAAGAGACAAACTATGAATGAGAACAAACCAGATAAGCATCTAACGATTTCCTTAGGAACTTCAAGAATGTGGTTAAAAAACAAGAACCTTTCAAAGCAAACACTGAAGAGAAGGTATTTCATTAACTATGCCATATTTGTGCTTGAATTGCCCATATTGTTTTACTAAAGAAAGTTTTTAAGAACAATATTTAAGCACACTTATTACTCCTGAAAGTTTCTAATTGCTCACAGTCCACTAAAAATTTGTAAGATAATGAAGAATTTCTTCTTTTTCCTGTAAGATATGTCTATGCCAATCTGTAACTGCTGGTTGCTGGAGGATTAGGTAATCTTATTTATAGTGTGTTTATTTTAGTACTAGGTAACACTAACATTTTAAGACTCCAACTAGGCACAATGTGGCAATTTACCTGCTTATCTGTTTTGCGAAATAATGTTTGCAGGGTTCATAGTTAAGTGGTCAAGAACCCATTTAAGGAATAACATTAATAGTGTTGATAGAGGGACATGGCAGCACATGATCTAAATGTACATCACCACCTCACTGGAAAACTTTGCTTTTAAATGTGTTTACAGCTGCCCATTCATCTACCAATCTTAAGGAATAACATTAATAGTGTTGATAGAGGGACATGGCAGCACATGATCTAAATGTACATCACCACCTCACTGGAAAACTTTGCTTTTAAATGTGTTTACAGCTGCCCATTCATCTACCAAACATTAAGTTTTCAGAGAAAACAGTAAGGTTTGTTGTTTTTTAAATAAATTTTACACACTATTATACATTTAATGAAGAAACAGAAAAACAAACTTACCTGAATATAACATGTAAGGACCCCTGTTGCATAGATGGGAACTGTGGCTTTTGTTAGCACTCCATTACCTGCTGTGGAATCTAATGAAACATAGTGAAAAATTTAGGTTTTACACATACATATGAGGGTGTATATAATGTGTATAATACATATACTATATACAGTATGCTTATATGTGTGTTTTTAAGTATTACAGATTTCATCACTTTTTTTATATAACCATAGAGAATTTATATACATGTATGCATATATACACACACATGCTAAAATAATGCTTAAGTGGTATTTGGATTTGATTCTTATTTTGTACCTTACACACATTCTACAACTTCAGTGTTCCATTCATATTAAGATTAGATTTTTCAACATTTCACAAAGATGACAAATTTGAGAACTGTGCTCTGAAAATGTTATTTGAACAAGAGATTGACATTTTTTTTGAAGTTGCAGTTAAGTTGAACTCATTTGAGTAAAAAGCTACTTACCTATGTTTTCCTCAGACAGTCTTAAGATTTCCTGGAACTGTGGTTTTACCTATGCAAAGGATGATGAATCTCATGTAAGAAAACCTGTTACCAGTGTCTATTAACTTAAAAAAAATATAAGAATTGAAAAATGAAACAAAAAAAATCCCCCCTCCCCCAAAAAAAGAACAACTCCCCCCCAAACCACAAAAAGGACTTTTGATGGTACAGAAAGAACAAAAATCTTTAAAAAGCATAGCCAGTTTTGGCAAAAATTGACAGTATGATATAAGAGAGGAAAAATTTCTAGTGAGTACCCACAACACAAGTAGCAGTATTTAGTACTTGTGACACAAAAAGTTGAAGTATGTAAAACAAAAAAAAAGTTTACGTTTTGTATCTTTGCTATCAATGACGGACTCTCTTCCAAATACAGCTATGATAATCAGTATCAGAACAATTTTATAGAAGCAATAGTTTTACAAATAACTTACAGAAAGGGCTTTCAAAGACCAGAGACTTTTTTTAATCTCCTCTCTGGAAGCAGCATGTAATGCTAACACACTTGTATAATTTTATCTTTAGGTAATCCTCTCATGTTTTATGATTTCCTTTTAATATATTTTTTTCATTATATTCAGAAGTTATTTTATGGAGAAAAATTATGTAATTCCCTGATAAAAATGTTTAGATGTCACCTACAGAAAATATTTCAGGTTGGGAAAGCATCAATTTTAAATATTCAATTAAGTACAGACTGGAGTACTTATGTACATCACAAACTGCTGCTGCTCTGAAGAAAGAAAATTGTTAAATCACCAAAATTACGATGATCTCTCCCACTCTCTCTGTCATTCACAAAGCAATATGAAGAATACAGTTTAAAAACCGAATCATTCCTTGTTGGGCAAGATGAGGCAGCCATTCCAAAATGACTAAAACCAGAAAACGGAAATAGAACTTCAAAAATACCAGGTTTAAATGTACTTATGGAAAAGCATCAGTGTGACTTGAAAATATAAATGGTCACATAAGGTGTGAGTATTCAGACATACCATAAATATAGAGAACATATATTATCAAGGTACTCTGTATGTAGAATATTTAAGGTAATATCTTACCTTAGTGTTTGTAAAAATTTTCCCAAATGTCCTACAAAGTCTCCAGAAAAATCTAGAGAACTCATGGACACAGGCAGTTGATGCTACATTGATCTTGCCAACTATTTCTATAAGCTGTGGTAGCCTAAAAATCAGGAAACAAAAGGATATTAAACACTACTCTGATCTTTTGTTTCTCTCCAGTTACATTTGTATAGATTTACTGTTTATATTAATAAATACATGCACAGAGCACTACTGGTTCTAATAAAATTAACTACTTGTTCCATACAATTCCTGACCCATGAAGAAAGCAAGGGTTCAGGTGCCAGAAAAGTCTGACCTACATTTTCAAACACGTGTTACTATCATAAGATAGATGGAATACAACAGTCTTCAGTTCAACAGAGAATCGACTATACCAGGAAAAAAAAAGAAAAAACCCAACCTTATCAGAGCAAGTAGCTACCTACATATTCTGTTAGATTGTTGATATTTTTTGAATAAAATCAAAGCCAATTCAGCATGAAAATTAAAATGCCTGAAATAAATCCAATGTTTTCCTCTTCGATAATTCTCAAAGACAATCACACTTAGTATTCTCTTATTCAGTAATTGTTAAACATGGCCATGCTTAAGAACTATTAATTTTGATACATTTTAAAATTAGGAATCCTAAGATACAAATTAACTCACAGTTGATTGACTACCCATAGCAGAGACTCCCAGCCTGTGGTACCCTCATGTTCTAGCTGATAGTCATAGAGTTGCAACAACACCGCTAACTGCTCGCGGCTCCCAATGATGATGGCCACATCCTGAAGCGGCGATATGGGTCGGGGGAATCTAGTGACTGTAACAGCAGAGAACAAGCAATCGTGAACAAAAGAAGACGATAACACCATGGAGGTGATGTCTGAAATGAGAGCCAAGAAAGCAGGAAAATCATTAGGTGTCTTCTGTATAAGGTTATCAATTTGCTTTTTAAAAAATTAGTGAGTTAAAATAATCTCTGAAGAGATTATGTAACTCTCACTTAACACGAAGAAATGTTGATACAGGGAGATTATGCAATTATCATTGCCAGCATGGCTTCACCAAGCTCAAATCTTTCCTGAGCAACTTAGTGGCCTTCTGTGATGGAGTGACCACATCTGTGAACAAGGGAGGTTGTAAAGCCTTCGACAGTCTCCTGTAACATCCTTCTCTCTAAACTGTAGAGACATGAATTTGATGGATAGACTTTTCAGTGAATGAGGAACGGACAGGATGGTTAAATCCAGAGGGGAGTGGTCAACAGCTCAGTGCCCAGATAAACATCAGCAACAAGTGGTGTCCCTCATGCATCCATAATGGGACCGATACTGTTCAATATCTACACCAATGACATGGACAGTGGGATCAATTGCACCCTCAGCAAGTTTGCAGGTGACATGTAGCTGTGTGCTGCAGCTGACATATCTGAGGGATGGGATGACATCCAGAGGGACCAGGACAAGCTTGAGACGTGGGCCCATGGGAACCTCATGAGGTTCAACAAGGCCAAGTAAAAGGTGCTGCACCTGGGTCAGGGCAACTCCCTGTACCAATATAGGCTGGGGGATATGAAGGGATTGAAAGTAGACTCTGGTTCAACTTCACCATGAGGCCATTGATTAATAGAATGGTTTGATTTGGAAGGGACCCTAAAGATGATCTAGTTCCAGCCTCCCTACCATGGGCAGGGACACCTTCCACTAGACAAGGTTGCTCAAAACTCCACCCAACCTGGTCTTGAGCACTTCAGTTCTTCAGAAACCTTTAGGAAGTACAGTTAAAAATTGCTTTGCATTCTCAAAGTTTCTTATAAGAAGTAGAGAAGAATACAGAGACTGAATAAAAATTTTTGGTGATAATCAAGTCTCTCAAGCATAGTAAGAGGTGGAAAAAGGAAGCATTACTTAAGGATTTGCTAAGGGAGATCAATATGAAAAAAATCCATATCAGAAATTAATCATTTACCTTCTATTTGTGGTACTTCTCCCTGAAGTTTAGCCTTGCTTGTGAAAGGTGCATTCTGTAGCACCAGTGCAAACAGTGAAGGAATCAATGACTGCAGAGCAGACAGATACATGTGAAGCTTATGTTCATCCAAGCCATGTTCTCCTTCCTGAAACAAACAGGACATTTACTCAAAGTTGTCAATTTGGATGATGTATTCATTGGCAAGAAATCAACACATCTGCGATGAGCTTCTACACAAAGACACTAATTATATAGTAATTTAGCCTAACCACAAACTTACTTTGTCTCATCATCCAAATCCCCTTGTCACCCTTAAGTCACCTCTACTCAAAAGATTCAGGCAATACATTTAGCAGTTCATGCTGATAAACAGATTGATATTTTGAAAGAACATTTTTTAGCACATTTTGGAAATGTGGAACCTTTGTCTCAGAGACCAAGGCACCTAAACTGAATAAAGCAGTCGCCTGCACTGAGAAAGCAAGCATCTTGTTTCAGTCTGTTAGACAGTTATGAGGTACCCAATTTTTCTAGAACTTTTGAGATATCTACCAAATCAAGTGTGCAAACTGGATCATAATTGCAAATGACCTAACTAAGCCATTCAATTCTTCGTTTGCTAATTTAATAAAAATTGCACTTTATTAAAAACTATAAAATTTAAATATTGGGCAAATGCTATTAGGCTATAAAGAAGAAGAGTATTAAGGAACAATATGTTTAGTTTTGGAGGGGTTGGTGGTTTTTCTTTTCTTTTTCCTCCTTCTTCCAGTGGACAAGTAAAAGAGTTACAACAAGCATGTCCGGAAAAATTTTCACTCATAGAACATTAAGCACCAACTATTTGCATTTTTGTATTTTTTTTTAAAAGTCTGCATATTTAATAAGAATATATAGAAAATTCTCCAATGTAGAAACAGCTGAACACATACCCTGAGCAATTTTTCAATTTTATTAAGCAGTGTAGGTATAAGATGGAACTGTAGATTTCCCAGTTCTGTTGTCCAGGCAGCATAAGCAGGTAAAAATACCTGATGTGTTGCACTAACCACACGTTCTGAAGGGTCTCCTAGAGCTGAAAGCAGCAATTCAAAGCCCTGGCAAAAGACAATGAAGAATGTACTTATTTCCCTAAAATTTATATACACATTTTACCACTCTGCCTTCAAAAACTCAGAAGACAGAAGTACTTTATTTTCACTTCTGCGAAACATTATTAGGCAGCATTAAGTTGAACTACAGGTAGGCTTTGTTGTAGCAAATGAATTTGCTAGCAAGTGATGATATCAAAGTGCCTAATAGTATCAGGTGGGCAGTGAAATGGTATGTTCTTAAAGGTAAATTATGAATTATTAGAGAAGCTTTTGTATAAGGCTTACACCTGAAGTTTTAATGCTACCTGTAGTTTTTCTGTTTGGTCTTGGTGAAACAGTAAAATCGACATTCATATATTCCTAATTTTTAAAAGTATCTGAAAAGATTTAATAAAAATACAGGAAATATGCACCCCCCTACTCATGAAGTATCTATAGAAAAAATTTTATACATACAGAACCCAAAACAAATTATACCTGTTGATATTTGTCTGGATCATCAATATAGCCCATAATGATGCCAAGGCTTTTGATCACAGCTTCTCGTACCAGATCTGCCTTATCTTCCATTAGCATTTGTTGCAGCATGGAAAGTACTAACGAACTACGAATTTCTTTCTGTTTGTAAATGAAAAATATATTTGTTAAATCCAATGAAACAAGAAATGTGGGTTTGTATCAGTTTTTATAAATAATTTGCATTTCTGTTAGTGCTCACAAACAAAATCCCTTCCTCCAACCATAGATCCCTTTATGAATATTACATGTTCAGTTTTCACAAAAGAAGATGAACGAATATAAAATGTCAGTAGCTTCATTAGAGTGCCTTTTGTCCTACTAAGCACAGAACTCAAGTCCTTTAACTTGTATGGAACCAAAGATAACTAAAGCAATAAAACTACTATAGGTTTAGACTTAAAACAGAATCTGTAATCACTGCATTACTAAATTGAAGAAGAGGCATTTTAATTTGGTTCTGAAGCTTCAAATTCTAGTTTGCCACTGACTTAATTTTGCTTGTTCTTCTAACTGGCAGCACTCTTATTGTAACACTCCACAGTGTCTGAAGAACTCTATTATTGGGTGTCAGTTCTTTTTTCACAGATTGTTTCCTTAATTGGTCCTAACTATCTTTTCTTAATTTTTACTGAAACAAGTATTTTTTCAGAACATACTGTTTTTAGAAACATTTTATACCTAGATTAATCTGTATTTCTTCATAATAAGCTATCTCCTTCTTAGTGTGATTTACTGAATCTCACATGTGTACATAAAGTAGAAGACAATGTGACTGTCTATGCACAACATACACACTTGTGAACATTTAAAATTATACAAGATGTTTACATTATGGAACAGATTTTCACCTTGCTTTTACTAGCGAGGTATTTGATGTCTATTAATACTTACTGGAAGGTAGGGTGCAAGAGCTCCACAGGATTCTGCTACCAGTAGCCGTCGCTCTGGGTATTTGTGGTTGATCTGGTAAAGACAAGCAGATTGGCTGTTTGCTTTGCAGTAACCTGTATTCAAATGTGGTTAGAACGCACTGCAACGGAGGAATGTGCCTGCGCGTCTTCAATAAACAGTGATGAATAAAGAGAAGGTGGAAAGCAGTGTATGGAATGAAGAATATGCATAACTCCTGAGCTGGAATGTCATGAAATATTTTGTATTATGTAGCCCTTCAGGAGAGACGTTCCTCTAAGAACTACACAAGTGCCCTCTAGTGCTCTGAGCCAACCAGTGTAGAAGAGCTGCCTAGGTCTCACTGAACAATCAGGGTCAAAAGAAGGCACACATATTAAGCCAAAAAGCATTTGTATGCTGTTGAAGTTCTGCTCTCAAGTCCTTCATAAAAATGTGGCTGAAAACAACTCTTATTGCTGAGAACCTCTGGATCCCATGCTACCTGCCCTTTCCACTCAAAAGTTGCTTGAAAATTCTGCCTTACAAATTTATATTGACACTTTGGAACCAAGTTTGCATCCTGGTAGAGTCAGATTTAAGAACCAGTGTAATGGCTGAACAATGAAACACAAAAAATTTTGCAAATAAAAAATTTCATGGTAAAATGGTGAGAGGGAAATGTGAATATTCTGATGCTGTCAGATAAAATATGATATGCAGCATGTGGTGCAACTATTTCTCTCTTGCTATGCAGTGTATAGCCTTGGTAAGACAACCATGTTACCACAGAGAAAACCGAGGTACTCGCTGCCTTCTTTGTCTCTGTCTTTCCTGGGAAGAATTGCTTTTAGTAGTCTGAGGTCCCTAAACCCCATGCCAAATTCTAGAGCACGGAAGATCTTTGGTAGAGAATTATCAGGTTAGGAAATATTCAAAGAAATTGGACATATGCTAGTCTGTTGCCCTGATGGGGATGCACCCATGAACACTCAGAGAGCTGGCTGATGTCATTCCAAGACCGCTCTTGACAATCAACAAAATGTTGTGGCAATGGGGGAGGTTCCTGAGGACTGGAAGAAAGTAAATGTCACTGCTACCTTCAGGAAGGGCAAGACAGAGGATCCAGTGAAACACAGGCGAGCCTGCGTCACATCAGTTCCTGGGAAAGTGTTGGAGCAATTCATCTTGGAAAGCATTTCCAAACATACGAAGGGCAAGAAGGGGGCTGGAAATAGCCAGTATATATTTATATAGGAAAAACCACACATGACCAACCTGACAGCTTTCTGAGATGACTGGCACAATGAACAAGGTGAGAGCAGTGAAAAGGTAGAAAATGATGCGTATACTTGAGTTCCTTCTACAAAGACTTGTGACAATGAGATTCAGCTGGCATTTGCTGAAGAAAATAATGACCTGGTTCCAACTCTGGCAAACTGCATTAAATAAATGCATTATGACACATGAGTTGGCAGCTTGATATGCTGTACTGATACAGTTGGACTCGTTTCTATTTTGCATCAGCAATTCGCAAGGAATGGATGACAAAGATGTGCTCTTACTGAGGTGAGACTGATTTTTTTAAGCACAATCTAAATTTCATAAGGACTAAGAAAACAAAATGTTGCTTATTTTATGTTCAACTTCTATTGTCATGAGAGCTTCATTTAAACAACAGATAGATCAGTCATACATACAAGCACAACTGCTGCATATAATACATACTTCTACTGTCAGAAAGCATTAAGGCCATTAAAGCTTGGACTTTATTGTGAGACACAGATTGCTGTGTTATGCAAGAAACAGTAGAAAATTACCAGACCAGAAAGACTGTGTCATCAAAGCAAGCATTACCACTCCGTCACGGCTTAGTTATTTGTTGTCTTTTGGTCAATGATGAACTCCCTTTTCTTCATTATAGAGGAAAAGTGCCATACATTTTCACCTGAACTCATGTTACTCTGTTTCTATGCCTCAGATGAAACAGTAAAAGCATTTCATTTCGGTTGTTCAGTTATTTCTTTTAATTTATAGTATCTGTGGAAAAAGCCACTGTGATTCTAGAAGTCACATGTAAACTTCAGGTTGATCTCACAGGAGTAAAATCATGCCCATCTACAGGAGACTTACTTATGACTACTTTAATCTTTGATTTTTAAGAATTTAAACTAGCTGAAGTGTGGACACTACTCCAGGGATTTAACACAACACTAAAGAATCAGCAAATGAAATCTTTGAATGAAAACGGACTTCCAGTAGTCTGGAAATCACAGTCCAAATCATAAAGGTACCTATCTAGCAATAGGTTAGGTAACATTGATGATGAATATGTGTATATCTACATTTCAATATAACAAACTTATTCTGGTATATGCAAGTAACTAGAATCTCTAGATAGTCTTTAACATGTTTTCCACATTTAAGTTTTTTTTAATGCTATATAGAAATATATATAATGAGGACAACAACATCCAAATATCTTTTGAAAAATACTTTGAACTGCCATTCATTGAAAAACAAAACCAAAACAACCTCCTCAAACAAACATCTATGAATTTTTAACTAATTTTCCAGTGCAAAGCACAAAATAATCAGTTACCTGCTCCCAACACTGTGGTAAAAGTTCAGCTTCTACACGTGTTGGTCCAACATGTCGGGCAAACGCCACACATCCAGTTAGTATCATCTGTCTGAAAACATAAATTTAAAGCTTTAATTTGTTTATAAAGTTCTATAATATATGAAATACATTCTTTAAGTTGAGAAAAGCAGATGCTGACAGGCAACAGGTAGTTGTCTATAGTCAAGATTTCACACCATACACACTGACTTAAAAGTCTAAATCTTAAATTGAAAGCCACCATTGTCCTTGCTCATTGCAAGGCAGGGATTTGCCCAGATGACCTTCAAACATCCCTTCCAATCCAAGCTATTCTATGATTCTACCTTGTTTTGTATTTAAGAGGCCTTTTCCAGAATCTTGCAGATCCCAAACTCCACAAACCAGAACCTGAGAATCTCTGATTTGGCTACTTCTGATTTCCTGTGTCTGAGATAGGGAGTCTCTGACTGAATCTCTCATTTAATTCTTAGTACTGAATACTATCATGCATCATGCAGTAAAAGGATCTAAATTACTTAATACTGTGTGCACACTGAAGTGCACATACTGCTTTTATTTAGTAGCATTTGTGAGATTTAATGGACTTTGTTCAAAGCGAGTAATTTAATTCTTTTGACATGGTTTTGCAATATTCTAACATGCAAGTTACTGTCATCTCTCCTAAAACGCTGGACTTCACTCTTGTGAGAAGTCTTCTGAAGCCCACTACAAAATGGAAGCAATTAATCAATCAGTAGTATCTATGATCACCTGTTATTTGTATTCATATTCTTAGATTTTTTTATCTTTCTTCAAAGTTTGCAAGAAATTGCCATTGTTCTATCAAATTCATAGGCAGAGATATATTTAAAATGTCAGTAAGATTGTACTTATCTGTAATTTGTGGTACTTTAACTTATTTAATGAGTGTTTATCTTGCTAAGATTTTTTTACTTCTATTTCTCTTGTTAATAGGATTGCAAAAATACCAACTTTGCATGCAATTCAACAGTTCTATTTACTTTTAGTGCCTACATGAACTCTTAAATAACCAGTTTCAAATCATAATGCATAGACACAAGACACTCTTTTTACCACCTCCACAGTAAGATTAGGACACACTTATTCATTATTACTTTGTGCAATCAAGTCAGAATGAACTTGTTACCATTTTAGTGTGGTGTCTAAACTCCTAAATATTTACTGTAGTTAACAGTATCCCCTTAAGGTTGAAAGGCAGAGATTCTGCTGGTTATTTCTTTAATAATTACAGAATATAGTCCATCAAAAAAAGACTCATTCACTTTCAGAATCTTTTTAGGAGAAAGAGTCTATAAAAAAAGATTTTTTTTTATCTCAGCATTCCTTAGGCCAACAATTAGAGCAAGCTCTTTGGTATTGTATTGTGGATCTTCGAGGGTTTTACCTCTCTACAACGTACAAGGAACTAGACCTTTGATCAAGATAAAAAGGATGGGGGAAAATGGAAATGAAATCGTCAGATAAAACTCAAGAAAACAACATCTAATATGTGATAGCAATATGGAGACAAAAGCCTGTGGTAATTCTGAGTTCTACAGCAACCAAAACAGGCATTCAAACTACTATCTTTGGCTCTATACACTTCACCTAATCACAGAATGGGGAAACAAAATATGCATTTTTAAGATATTAAAAAAAGATAATGGCAGAATACAGTCATCACTTGAAATCTTCTGCATTAGAAATGTGTTAAAATATATTTCTTTCTCAAATCAAACATTCTCAAAAGTGTTCCATGAAAACTCAAAATTAACTGGGATTTCCTTTTGCCTTGCCTATAAAGAAGTGAACTTCAAGAGCTTACAAAAATATTAAAAGATAATGTTTGAAATATTTTACTGCAAGCATCTTAAAAGTATATGACAATAGCCTGCATTCCAGGGAAAGGCTGTAAGGATCTCAGCAACACGTGATTGAAACAAAAAATGTTAATATTAAGCTGTTAAAAATACTGCAGTCCAGACTGGATATGAGAATAACTTCCAGGTTATGGACTTCTGATCCCTTAGGCAGGAATATGAAGAAAATCAGTGTGATTCAGCAGACACCAGTTTGCTTAATCAGTGCAGAAGACAACGTGAAATCAAGAATCAAACTAGAGGAACAAGGCAGAAGATACAGTAGAGCAGATATTATCTAGCATTTCTAAATTCTTCCTAGATGTTTTTAAAAGTGACTGTGTGCACTGGGAAATAGTTCAGTCTTATACTACAGAGTTCAGAGTTCTTTTGTCTCTTCTAAAGGCTATATTAAGAAATTACTTACTAGAGTTTTCCTTAATATGTCAGCACGTTATGTGTGTTCTGTAAGAAGTGGTATCATACGGCCAACAAAACATCAGAGTAGATATGATAAGCTTAATGTATTTTAGGTTCTTTTTGTGAAGAGTGCTGTTTCTGGATACATTACATAATAATCTTCAAGAGTTCACAGTCTGAACTATGTTTTAACCTTGTCCTAAAAGGCCTGAACATCAGTCTAACTTCTTCACAGCTCCTTAGCTTCCGAAACTAACATAATTGTACAAAAAGTAGTTTAGGTAAAGCTAACACATATTTGTTCCTTTGCAGAAGAAAATTCAATAGACATTCTGAAAAGTTGAATGGTACATTAATGATCAAAGCCTTGAGGACAAAAGTGGCCTTGTTAAATATAATGTTAGTATACAAGACTACAGCAATATGCTACACATCAAAAAGCCTTTCACACGGGCAAGAAGTATAATACAGGCTTTCCACATAATGGTTTATATACTTTAGATATTTGACCTTGTAAAGTAAATTACTTCTTTTAATGGTTTCATTCTTAGAAATGCAATATCACATATCAGTTTCTTGCATTTAGCAAATTAAAAATGTCAACTTATCAACCGCTACATTAATGTATAATGTAGGCCTGTGCAGTATAGCAGAAGGTAAACAAATAACACGAGATAACTAACACCAATTGTTCTGGGGACTAAATCTGAATGTTAAATTCACATGGCACAAGACTCTTAAAACATCATTTAAATGTATTTAAATAAAAACCAAGCATGCATAATACACTTCCATTACATAAGTATAAAAAACCCCCTGAAATTCTTAGTAAGTATTTTCTATCTCATTTCTATTCAGAGTGTCTTTTACTTGAATGGAATTTTAACTGTTCTTTCATCAGCTATTATGGCACCTCTAAAAGAGATTATGATGTTTATGTGTGTAAATGTATATTATGTTTTGTCCTGGAGTTTATGGCAGAATATTCTTCCCAAATTTCTGAAGAAAACAAGTTTTCTTATATACAAATCTTTAATTCACAACAAAGAATTAACAAGTTCAAGGAAAAAAGTTTGGATTTTATTCTTTCTTAGCTGCTGGAAAAGACACACCTAATGCACCTAAACAGGTATATGAAAAACCTACTTGACAGGCAATCAATCCTGTAACAAAAAAGACTCCAAGTGAGATGTAATTTCTTTTCCCCCTCAATCACAAATTAATTTTAGCTTCTCAATCCACATGGAACATTCGAAACAACTTAGACAGATATTTCAGAAGTAGATTTCTAACGAATCTGTAGCAGAACAAGGACTGCATCTTTTTGTAATTTCAATCCGCATGGTGCCACTATGCCACAAGTTGCTTTTATTTATTTAAGCTTTTTTTTGTCTCCAAAGCCATGGCTTTCAGTTATCCCTAATCTGTAAATTTTACTATGGGAATGGTTTAGAAAGATACTAGAACTGTTTTGGAGAATCTTCAAAAGAAATGCTTCCCATCTACTTCATAAAGTCTATTTTGTCTAAAGACAGACTAGAGCAACAATAGATACAGATGCTTTAGAAAACATCTCTAATGAAAATAATGGAAGAGCTACAGGTCAAACATGAAAAATCTTTCCACAGTTAGAGAGGGAAACATACCAGTTAAGAGTACTGTCTTTCAACCTTAAGGATATTCTCATCAAGATCGGTACAAAGTCAGATTTCCTGAGTACTAAGGAACAATTAATTTTATAGAATAAAAAGTATACGTTTTTTTAGAGTCTTAACCAAAATAAAACAAAGTTCTTAACACTTGTCAGACCTAAACCACTGCTGCAGTCTTCTGAATTTTTTATTGCTACCATAGTGAACCATAAATAGAAAGAGTACTATTTTCTCATGCTGTTTTCCCACATAAACATGGTAGTTACTTTACAAACATATAGATCACTAGGTCATATTAAGACAGAGGTTTAAAAAAAAAAAAAGTTGCTTTGATTTCTCTATCAACCATTGCTAAGAACTATGATCTTAAAGCTCATTTTAACAAAAGAGTTTCAAAAGAGTTTCAGTTCAACTTCAAACAAAAAAAGGAACTGAAATGTTACACTGCAGCTTACAAGCACATTCTTACATTTCAGTAACTAGAAAGTATAGGCCATGGAAATGGAAAGTCCTGATGTTTGCATAAATTTGTCAACACTGTACAAGCAAAATACCATCTTAAATGAAACTTGCCTAAAATCACCCAATAATACCCAACTTCTATTATTTCTGTTAATCTGACAGAGAAAAAAGTTCCTCCTTGTCCCGTAACACACAAACGCAAACACACCTTTGCTCATCATCTGGTCGTTTGATCAAATTGAACAGTATGTGTAGAAGTTGATCTCTCTCTTTGGGTTCAGGATGGAGGCAGGCTGTACACAGTATGAGTGGGATCAATTCCTAAAAGATTGTGGGTAGGGGAAAACCAAACAAAGTAAAAATGCTTTGGGCATATATTCATTAATGGCAAAAGAAACTAAGAAGACAAATCTAGTCATATAACATCAAAACAGTTTGAAAGGATGTTTTAGAGTCTTGATCTCTTATTAAGTGACCTGAAAAAAGTGAAGGTCTACAAAAGTTAGAACTATTTTCCTGCTAGGAAAAATCAGGGGAGAACCAGCACATAAAATGAAAAGCTCTGCAAATATTACAATTAACATATGCAGGTCATCTGTAACCAGAAGTAGAGGACAGTCATGATTTCATTGTCTTCACTACCCACTGAACTGAAGCAAGCTCCACAGACATCTATGGAACAAAGCTCCTATGGAAAAATGCCATGGAGTTAAAGATTACAATTTCCAATTAGGTATGCACACAGTTTTGTGCACAAGTTTGAGCAAGCATTGAGAAACACACATTGGTAAAGGTGACTGCAGACAGATATCCCCTATTTTGTGTTGACTGAGACCTATCAGATTTTTTTGAAGGTTTGTTGATGGGGTTTTTTTCCATAAAGAGGCAATATCTAAAGCTGAATTTTCTTTTTAGAGTGATCAAAAATCCCTTAAGGAACAAACTACAAAGAAAATACTGTGTAAAACATTAATTGACAGAATATATAAGGATGTTCACAATAGCTTAGACCTCCTCCTTTCTAAATATGCCTTCAAAGCTCATGGTATTCATTCCCAGAAGAAACAAATGTTTCTAAAACATGGTCTGGAAGTTCCTTTCCTTGATCTTGTTGATATGAGCCTTTATTCCAACTGAATTTGGAAGCCACACAGTTTCTAGGTGATTTAATATCCTAGGGACAGAAACATCAGACTGGGAGGTCAGGGGAAAAGAACAGGACAGCCCAGGTGTCTGCAAAAAAACCCCCAAACAAACGTGGACAGGTAATCTGGACACTTCCTTGCACATGTGCCATGTACTTTTGAGCCATTCTCACCAGAGAGGCTTTCTGTGAATTAATAAACCGTGACAAACAAGCAGGTGATAGCGGGAAACACATCTAATGCTACTAGGAGAGATTACACAAAATCTGGGAAAATCTGTGGTTATTTGTAATGACTTTGAAAGGAGGTGTACATTTCTTACAGACATTCACAGTGACCTAGTTACAATGTTCTTGAGAGTAAGCCTGTTAAACAAGGTGGACATGTGTAAACACCAGTAGCAACACCCTCACTGCACAACTTGTCTTTTCCTGAACAGCAAGTCCTATGTTGAAACAATACTCTATTTTAGAACAGATAGTCAACTCCTGACAAACTTCTTCATTTTACAAGAATTCTACACAATGTGCTATCTTCCACCCCTGAAGCTGACCAAGACACAATCTATTTTAACATTATGTGATTCTGGTACATATTTTGGCAATATTTAACTCAATTATGGTACAGATTAGGGAATTTATGACAGAGGAATGAATGTGGAAATATCCTACCCGCTGCTTAAAAAAATAATCTAAAAGGATAGAAAGAGAAATGAGAATTAAATTTGAACAATTTGGACATTTCTATTTCTTAATACTTTTAAGTGAGTCAGTTTTGGGTGTTGTTTTTAAGTAAGTGTAGCATAACGCAAAGTAACACGAACTGAAAACCTGCATTAAAGAAACACTGCATGAAGAACTAAACTTTCTTCAGCTGAAAGCTCCTTTCCCTGCAGAATTTGCATGTTAGAGGTTATTTTTTTTGGATACTTAAAATTCAGTTTTTGCCCATTTAAAATTCTGAGAAGTCAGGGGGTTAATCTATTTACTTTTTTCTTGTACTTCACAGAAGAATTTTTTCTCCTGCAAATACTGCTTTAATTCAAAAAGATTTGTAAGAATATTACAAAAATAACACACACACCCACCACACTACTTATACATTAAGCTAAGATCTTTTAATTATGAAATCATATTGCAATTTGCAGATACCCAACAAAATTCCTAACTTTACCATAAAGAATAAAGCTCATTGAAAAAAACTTTTAAAAAGGAACCTTCTGTTACTTTAGTGAGATCTAACTTTCTGAAATCTGCCCTAACTTCACACTGCCCAACTGCTCTTGCAAGTATTCTTAAGCACTCCTATGAAAACCCTTTTTAAAAATGAATATACCCCATGAAATGGGACATATATGGGGGTTTTGTTTCATCTGATGAAACCATCACATTGACTTCACTTTCTCAGTATGTTCAAATATCTACTTAAAAATCTCAACTGCTCACTCAGAACTATTGCTAGATTTCAAAACGGTGCCATGAGCTGCTTTTTTTTAAAGTTTCTTACAGAATTTAAGGAAGTTTAAGTTGCCTTCTTCCAGTTGAGTCTGCATGAAAGGAAAAAAACCTCAGAATATTCACCTAGAAACTACTACCTTGTGTCTGAAAAGCTAATGAGTAACCTAACACCACTGACACGGGGCAGATACAAGGCTGGTTCTTTACCTTTCAGAAAGCTGGTTATTATAGCTGACGGAATTAGCTGTATTTTCTTGTCCATTGGTCACATTCTCTCATGCATACTATGGGAGAAGAGAGTGTTCTCTGCATCGCTGCATCAGTGCTTCTACAGTTCCTTCTATTAAGGGGAGTGGAGAAATAGTGAGAAGTCTTGAACAGTGTTTTTTGTACTCCCTTATAGACCTAATGGATGGGAAGGTACAACTGCAGGTGAAGGGGACTTTCCATGGGACAAAAAGAAAAAAACTGCTTTCACAGATGGACAAAACAGATCAAGTGAAGTCTCTCAAAGACTTATAAGGGGCAGATTCTTCTTGGGATATGCAGCACAATGACGAACAAAGACCAACCTACAGCTCAGTTTGAGCTCATTCCTTCCTGCTGCTAAGGGTCATGTGTTAGATGTAGATTTGTTTAACAAATCTCAGATTTTTCATTCTCAAAACCAGCAGAGAATTTCTGTAGAAAGTAGTAATTCTTCAACAGGACACAGTAGTACCAGCATTTGGCTGTTCAAATTCAAGAGGAAAGTTCATGATATGGTTATAGAGACTTAAAATATTTATTAATAATCAAGGAGAGGACTTCCAATGCTTTTTGAAACACTCTGCCTTCCTTGGGAAGGAATACCACTTGTGCTACAGTCATAAAGCAAGAACGTAAGTTTCAAAAAAACCCAACAACTCTCCCTCTATTTAATTTGGGATCCTTCTTAAACATTCTGTTCATCCCCAAGCCCCTCTTTTCCCTTTTGCCTCCGAGTTTGGAATGTGAGTTTGGAAAATTCATGTTGGTAGTTCATATTAGTGTTAGTCAACAGGAGTGACTAGTGACTTCAGTGACTATACTAGAAGAAATGGTACCAGAACTTTGATATGCTTTTCTCATTAGATTCCAAGCAGACTGACATTATAACATCGTTAGCACTTGCAACTTGATGAAATAAGACATCATGTGTCAAAGGTTTCACCTCTACTACTGAAAGGACAAATTCATATCTGAAGCAGTTTATATCTGTAAGGTACCCAGATGTATAACAGAGAGAAAAAAGTTATTTTTACTGTGAGGTAACCTACAAACAGGTGAATGACAGACAATGCTATGAAAGTGGCCTAATGCACTGCACAGGAGAACTGAAACAACCTGTCTTCTCTCTGTTCTACTTCTGTGTAACTATTCACATAGGTCTCTCCAAAGAAAAACCCACATTTTTCTAACCATAGTATCTCTGAACATCTTCCTAATGTATAACAACATGTTCTGTTATCTTGGAAGAGGATTCACTATTTGAGTTGATTAAAGTTCTCAATAAAGACAACATTTACATGGGCATATGGAGCAGCTCTTCATTATGGACAAAAGAAAGAGGTTTTTTAATAGTAAGTAGTATCACCTAAGCTATATGCAAGACGGTTCCTCCTGCATATGAAAAGTATTACAACAAAGTATTAAAGTCTGGGATTTTTTAAAGTGTATCGTATAGCAACCATCTTAGAAGGTAGCAAGGAATTTTCTGTCTGTGTTTTTTCCATCATTATAACTATTTTTTGCTAAGCATTCCAACAAGTCTTCCGCATCATAGTTTCACTCATTAAATACTGTCTTCTTGTTCGAGTGTTCCTTAGCAAATAATTATCTCAAAGAATAAATTTAATTAGCGTTAAGTGTCAAGACAGGTTACTTCAATAGGTTAGAATAAAAATATTTTATTATTTCAAATATTAATGTAATAATATTGCAAATAGGTGACAATGTATAAACCAGGATGACATTATGATCTATTTTTTTAATGTGTTCCTTTAATAGTAAATGCTTATATTGTAAACCAATGCCATGTAACTTAGCCTCTGACAACAAGTTAATAAAATAATCTTATTGGCAGCAACTGAAATACCTGCAGTTACTAACAAACTACTGATATGGACTGTCTTGTGCAAGACTGTATTTGAAGTTAAGAATTCACCTTTTGAGTTTTAAAGTGAAAAAATATTTAATCATAACATCAGTGCATGACTCAGAATATTGAGCTATTAATCTTATAAATATTAAAATCACAACTCTAATTGCCTTTCATGAGATGAGACTATTACTCCAGGGTCGAAATCAAGCCTATCATAGATCCCAAAGGGATGGTTTTACACAATAATCAATGCAGGTAAGGGTGTGAAAAAACTTTAAACTTCTTTGTCTATATGTACTGTTTATTTGGAAACCTGCATATAAAAGTTAGTGATACAACTAGTAACAATTAGCAATTCAGTTCCTAAACATCACATTCAACTCCTTGCATCCATGAATTATGTTAGGTTTAAAGACAGTGTTGAAAGACTTTCAGACTAGAGATAAAAAGGATACTCTATGACACTGAGCTATTTCATTCTTAGAAAACTACACCACCCCCTCACATCCAAGAGAAGGGAATTAAGGGACTTAATTTTTACTTTATGTCTGATGTTAGTGGAGCACTCCCATCCCCAGAAAAAAAAAAAACCCTGCAAACCAAAACTAACACGCCATGTAAGCCAAAAAAGGACCAGCAAACAGGCTGCGGTCAACACTATTCCTGTTTTTCAGACACACAGTATTATAGAAGCCTACCACAATCTAAATTTTACAGAGTAAAAGAAAATATTGTAATATTGTTAATTTAAATTTCTCTGTTCTCCCATATTCTGTGAAATAGAAACAGTCATGTAGAAGATACTAATGGTGGACAAGTTTCATGCCCAGGACTAACACTGGAATAATAGGTGAGATAAAGGATGTAAGTAGTTAAAAGTTAAGTGTTTCTTGATTAAGAACAGGAGTAACAAAATATTAAGCCAAAAAGTATACTCTGGCCCAAACTCCATTAAAGGACTGCATACTGCATACTGCAGAGTGTTGAAGTTGTACATACAAACAGGATTACTTCTGTTTTCTGACAAAAAACATTGACTTTTACACCTTATAAAGGGTAAGAAATAGTATTGCACTGATTAGTTATCCCAAAAATTTTAAAAGATTGCTTTTCTCTAATTACAGTTTCGCCAAAGGAATTATTATGGTATACCACTTGACAGATTTTGGTGGCTGATTTTACTTTTAGGTTTTTTACACCTTAAAATGTGTTTTACGTTTAAGCGGTAAAAAACAATTGAGAAAGCCGTTTACAATGTAGTTAAATTTCAGGCCATTATCCTGTGTTATTGATTTTACCCAGTTGAACCACTTTTTTAGAAACAACTAAAATGATCCCCTCAGTCACCCTACTCAATACTGTGTCTTTCCTTCTTTCTTACCTTCCACTGGAACCTAAAGTACAGACATGAAAGTTGCACCAATACAGAAGAATAAGAAATAATTTCAGAAATGTGTCAACTGTAGTATCTACTGGAACACTTACTACCAAGTTAGGTGGGCTGCTACTGACCTTAAGATGGCAAAAAGCATAGGAAAAATGGCTTCTGAATCTCTGCTAAGGGATAATAACTACTGAGAGGTTGTCAACCTCAGCAAACTCAGTTTCTCCAAAATAAAGATGCATAACGCAACATTTTCAGCTTAAGATTTTGCAACCAATTTCAACATAATGGATGCTTAAAGAACAAAGGTATTTCAAGGAGTCATCAAAAAATGATGTTTAACTCTCACGCCTAATGCACTGCCAGTGTAAGATCTTAAATACTACCACTCATCTTTTCAGAGCAGACTGGCAATTGCTTTGCATTATAATCTGAACTCGTTACACGTGTCTCCAATTAGTGATCTTTAGGTATATTTTTACATCAATTCTCTGTAACATTGTGTAAAACTTGCATTATAACATTGGTTTTGGACAAGACTCAAAGTTATAACTTGCTGAAGAGAGCCTAGTTCTTAGGTTAGCTTTTCATAATATCAATATTAATAAATACTAACAGATAGTCTACCCAATTTTTCCTTCAAATTCCATGACTACATCTGAAAGAACATTACAATAGTTATAGCAAGGGGTGGCAAGTAAAACCAGGTATTTTTACAGCAAATTTCAATAGTTGGAAAATTAAGCATCCCATGCAATTCAGTTACCCAATTCTCACTTGTGGCTTTTCAAGTAAACTGAAACAGTCAATTCATTTAAGGCAAAAATACATGTAATCATATGTAACTTCAACTGTAAAACTAAATAAGAAGGAAATAGGCTAAAAGGTCGCACAAATATTAAATGCATTAACACAGATTATGCTACAAGCTTTGAAAAGAAGCTAAAATACCACATCCTGCCAAGCAGAAGGAAGGAAAGGAATAAATAAGAAATCAGAAATTAGGCACTGATCCATGAACATTCACAGAATTATTCTGAAAGACTATTAACAGAACCATTTCCAGAGCATCCAGTTAACATCCTCACTCCCTCAGCAAAAAAAAAAGCCTTTTATGAACTTTCAAAACATGGCACATGTCTGAGGTTCACCATGTCAACCACCAATAATTACTTGTATGGTATAAAATTTTAGATTACAGGATCAGTACAAATTTCTTGAGGATTTTTCAAAGCCTTACAATGAATTTATGCAAAACACACTATGAAGGCTACCATACTGTAGGTCCTGTCAACAAGGACTAAAACTCGCTCAACAAGCTATGCTACTTCAAACCCTTTATTTCAGTGTCAATTATAAGGCCACTGAATTTTTGTTTGATATGTTTTTCTGGTTTTTTTTCCACACATACAGGTAATGTGCAATACTTACAACAAAGCACACAAAACCAGTCACTTTTTTCCCCATCTTCAATCCCAGTCTTCCTTTCCTATGCTATGCAAGAATGACTATGCAAACCACTATCTTTAGTTACATTCAAAATACACATTACATTTTCATAATTTTTAGTTAGTTTCATTATAAAAGTAAGGAAAACATATGAGCAAGATTGTAAGAAAATGACCAAAGGACTATTCTTGATGAACCTTATCTTGGCTGATATATGGAGCTTCTAGAAAAAGACATTAAAATATTTTTTTTGTTCAAGTATATAGTGCTGCAAAAGAACCCAAACATTAATCCTTACTAAAATTAATAGTCAAAATAAACCAAATTTAATGTTTGAACTTATAGCCTCTGCTCTTTGTAATGCATATTAACATGATCTTCTCTAAAAAAAATATCTGTGCTACCACAAAAGGATGGACCTACAGTAACAGTCTTGCTGAACACTAATGGGTGCCTTAAGCAGAGGAAGAAGTATTAGGATACCATGCAGGTTTACTGAACTCACCTGACAGAGGTGCAAACCCATTTTCTAGGAGCAGAGATGCATGCACAAAAGTAAGAACATGATTGCAAGTAACAGACTTTCATGAAATGACATACAACATCTTCAAAATGAACAAGAAAACATCCAGATAAAAATAAAATGTAAAATTTCAGGGTTCCTCACCTCTCGCTTTGCAAGTAGCACATTAGGAACAATGTGAGGCAGGCAGCGTCCCAACATTAACATGACACTTTTTTCACTGTCTGCAATCCGAGATACCTAGAAAACCAAGTTGCTTGTTTGTTTTTTTTAAAAGAAGCACAAAGACAGAAAAATATCCTTTCAGAGGACTAAGGGTTACAGCAGGCTGACCACTTACCAGAAAAATACTTCAATTACTCCCACATATTAAGCTGTAAGTTTTTGATCTATCAGTAACTTCAAAAGCATGAATCCACTGCTAGAGACTCAAACCTTCCCAGTAATTACATATCTATCACTAGATTCCATATTTAAGCTGAAATCTGAAATCACATCCTTATTTCTTAAGTTTCATGCACATAGATTCACCTCTCCATCTATGCTCATGTCTTGTTTCAAAGCAATTATTGCTTGTTTAACTACTGCTACCATGCAAAATAGAGGCTCTTTTAGTTTACGTCAACTGGGAAATATACCTCTGATCCCAAACGGCTGTCTGCTGACATCCGACAGAAAGACAGTAGTGCTTGATGGAAAGCTGGTGACAATTTCCTGAAACATCATCAAAAAGGGAGTGGGGAAAAAAAAGCATAAATCAGAAAGTTGATAAAACAAGTCCTTTCATTCTTGTTTACTCGGCTAGGCAAAATGACGCTCGGAAAGCATGTTTTAAGTGAAGCATAATACAGAAGTTTTTGTTTAAAATCATTGTTGACTTTCAAGGTGTTTAGTTTGTAGCAAGACAAAAAACCCGTGTGTCCTAATTAAGAAGTTACTTTTAGTTCCGAAAAATGTAACATCTTTCAAACTGCTGCACAGACAAATATAGGACTAAAGCATGAAGAAAAGGAAGCTTTAGCAATACAAGAGGAAGCACACAATTATGCAAACAGAGGGGTGTGGGCACAGAAATCACAAGAAACAGTATTTTTTCTATTTTTGCCTAATGCTCTGATTCTGCACATTGCATAAAAGCATTTGAGTAGTCAGTCAACTTACAAGCTTCAGCATTATATAGAGATTGCTCAACCACCACTTTGGGATTGAAATGTTGGATTCAAAAGCATAGTCAGAAACTCACAATTAAATTTAAATTGCTATCTAAGCCCTCATACAATGTGTATCTGTAGAAGCACTGCCTCATGGCCACACACAGCACCAGCCAATGCAGCCGAGCTACTCAAAGCGTTAAGCATACATATAAAATCTGATAACAGTCTCAAAACACCCTTGTCCCAAGAGGATAATTTGGCAAAAATGTTCTCAGAAAACTGTTACTGACCATTACACTACACAGGCAAAGCAGCATCAGCATCCTATTTTTCCTCATAATAACAACTTCCTCTGCCTTATCTGAGGTCTGTACTTAGATGCTAATCTAATGCTGCTATATTTAAAGAGGAAAATCAACATTTGTCTTCCAAAACACATACAAAAAGTATCTCACTCTGTATCATCATCTGCTGTTTGAATCCTCTAATGACACTATATCAGCTTAAGAAAGGAGGCACAATTCCTATTTCTTATGTGGAAACTGGTATCATCTTTGAACTCTTAAAAATGCACCTGAGTGCACAAAATCCTACACACATCTAATTATGTCTATGGACATATATTTTTATCTAATAGATTGAAATATAACACTATAGTAAATACATTTTACCTTTGCTAACCAAAAAAAATCACATTAAGAATCAAAGTTCCTACTTATAACTGTTTAATCCAGGAGGATACACATAAATACACCAGTTTTCCTCCTCTTACTATTTAGAAAATACGATCAGATTTTAAATTTACTACTTAGAATCAAGTTTCTTGACAGTACAGGGTTTTAAACCATATTTTAAATTTCAATGAAGGAAGCATGTTTTACTTCTAGTCAGCTTGGTTTTGTGCAAGGTTCATTTTAGAAAAGTTACTAAACTACTTAAATGCTAGCCAGTTGTAAAGAACTTCTGTTAAACAATAAGTTAGTCCCTATTCTGTAAAATATTCTTGACTGACAGATTTACAGGCTCTACTAAAGGCTTTACAGTTTTTTTACACTGGAAGAACAGGAGCAAGCCTTGCACTTGATGGCTATGCTGGACAGAAACAATGAAAGACCCAAGCCTCTTGCATACAAGTCAGTGGAAAGTCTCTTCAAGACGTCACTAGTGAAGATGTTCAAATATATGAAACTATGATGAATACAAAACCCAAGTATTACTATTCTATTCCGTATAACACCACCACAAGAGTGAATTTACTCAAAAAGCCAGGACTGCTATATACAGACACCACCTTGTATTTGGTGCAAATTACCAAACACCTTAAATTAGTTGAATAAATACATGTGGTGTAGTCTATTTAAACTGCTGCTACTGCTTTCTACTGCAATCTGTTAGATGAGGCATTTTTCCAATGATGGCCATGTCCTCATTTGCCATCATGCACGCACAGCTGCTCTAAGTGCAGTCACACAAAGCAGGCTCACTTGCTCTTCTATTCTCTCTTCCCATCTGGGCAAGATTTATGCCAAGAATCCACTCTCTAGATACAGTAGTAACAATCTTGCCTTTTAGGATAGAGACTTAGTTTTTAATCTCTCTTAATACATTCTGAATAAATTGTTGTAATTGTCTCCTACAAATAACCACCCTTGGGTTGAAATCAATAAATATCCAGCACTTTTATTGTGCTGCTTCTTCCACAGATCTCAAAATACTTAACAAATAATGTATTTTTTAGTGAAAAATATTACTGTGTTATTAAAAACCTAGTGCATAATCCGGGAAAAAAATTTAGTACTACATACTGTTCTATAAAATTTTGTATCAAATATGGTTTCCTTTGACCCTTCGTTGAGGTGTTAAGCCCAAAGCAGAGTACAAAAATAGCTACATATTACACAGGCATTACTTATTTCTGCAGTGAACTGCATTTGAGGGGACTTCTGAAGTTAACTCAATGGGGATTCATGGCTTCATTGAACCACTTTTCAAATAAATCCATGTGCTGTTATATTTAAAACAGCTGTGAGCAGCGAAACAAATGTTGTTCTTCTAGACTCTACTGTCATAAATCCCACTGGAAATATGCAGTTCCTTCCTCAGTCAGTGATTTAATCCTATTTTGATACACATCCTCACTATCCCCAAACCATCAATCTAATATTCATGCACTTAATGCCACCCAGCACTCACCGTTACTCTGAGCAAACAAACTTGCAACAAGCCACAAATGAAAGTAGGCAGACAAGTATTTAGCAATCCATGTACAACAGATCTAAGTCTTGATTATTACCTAATCTAAATATTCAGTTAAGATACGAGAGAAATTTAAAAAGAAAACAAACTCTGGAAAGCTTAAATCAAACCACTGACCATTCTTCAGAAAAATCTAAGCTGTTTTATTTTCCTGTTAAACACCAGTATACTCAACTAAAAGAGAAGAAATTTGTCATGAGACTCTAAAGGACTGTATTAAAAAATCAGAAATCATTCCTCCTGTCCACTTCTAAAGTTGATATCCCTGAAAAAGTGCCCCTGACCCTAGAAGTCAGTGCAAGAAGTTCAGAAAATCCAGAGAAAGCAGGATACTTAAGAGTTTACAAGAAAAGGTAATTACTAGCAGGGGTAGCAACTCCATTTTATAGGTATTCTTTTTCTTGCCTCCCAACAGCTTGCATTTATATTCCATCTGCAGAGAATGTCACACAGATTTCTACTTGGTATTTTCAGACAGAAGATATTTCTAGAAGCATATTACAGTATCAACACCAGCAAAAGAATGCTACATGAACTGACAAAATACAAAGCAAGATAGCTGCCTGCTTCCCTAGCAACAGCAACAATAAGATTGTAAGGTGATCTACTTGCACATCTTTGTCCACAATGGTAGTATTAAAAGCTGTACATACCCTCCTTAATTCTGTGGTACATGTTACTCCCGATGGCTACACAGTGGTTTATTCTACCACTTAACAAACAATTCACTTCCTCTCTTCACTATAAAAAGACTTTTATAGATTGGAGAGGCTTTCTCAAGAACTCTTAGACACACAAACTCAGTCTCCAAGGAATAACACCACATGAATACCTTATTTTAGTTAAAAGAATCATAGCTACCCAGTGAAGACTTGCCCCAAAATCAAACCTCAAAAAAGCAGAGTGCCATCAGATACCCTTTCTGATAATTCAAAAAATATATAAATAAAAATGTACTGCTCTCTTAGATACTCTGAGTTATACACATCTACATAGAAATAACAAAAATTTTTTTTCAAACAACTCTTCAAGCAGAACAGAAGATAATCATGAAATTATAACTTAAAAGAGAATCTTGTTTTCCCATTCACTATTCTGATTTTATCTATTGCTGCAGCAAACAGGACTGGTTTTAGAAACAAGCAGAAGGCAAAAAGAAACGCTGAAACTTAATACTGAAACTGTAGGTTTGCCATGTGTACTCCCTCCTAAAAAGATTAGGAACAATATAAAAATATCAGTACTGTATCCTAGAGGTATGGTAAGTATTTTACTTGCATTCAAAACACACATGATCTATTCATGTGGCAGAATTTTACTGTTAGAAAAACATCTACTATCTTTACAAGAATTTTTAATTATAGCATGCCAGTTTACAACCTATCACTAACCTATTAGGTTTATCAAAGTGGACTGCAGTTTTAGATGATGGAGCACGTGAGGACAGTTTCTCTGTCTCTTTACAGGACACAGAATTTAGCATATCGTCTTTAGAAGTCCTTGAGTCCACTTCAGCAGATAAAGCAAGGCTTGTTTCCTCGGTGTTTCCATGTTTATTGTCATTCTCAGAGCTCTTGATATCCAAGTACCGTCCATTGTCCTCTGAGACCGTGAGAGGCACTTGTTTTAAAGGATGGGGAGCTACACCATAAACTGTTGACACAGCAAAGTTTTCATTCTTGAGAAGATCTATTTCACTGGAAAAGGAAAGGCAAATGAAATATTTCTGTAGCTTTCATAAGAATGCTGTTCAAATCACAAGACTGAAGCACAGAAATAAGGACAATGTACTGAAAAGAGCTCCCTCCTCAACTCCAGTATGTGCACACCACAGTACTAAGGAGTTACAAAGCTAAGAGAAAAGAAAACCTATGCAAAATACATCAGATTATGTTTCAAAAAAATAAAGAAGTTACATTGAAAGAACAAAATTGATTACAAAATTAAATTATATGGGCAATAATAGATATAATCAGTTTGAAGTCTCTCCCTTTTTCTAATGAAATACCATGTATTGAAAAGGAAATACTGCCCTGCCCTGAAGAATTCCTAGTAATTTCATACCTGTAAGTTGTATGTTTCCATATATGTGCTAGAAAAACACTGAGAAGTTATCCAACATTTATCAGCAGTTGAGTAGATTGGTAAGTACATACCTCTCAAGTCTTTGGATTTGTTCCATCAAAGACCATTTCTCACTGTTTAACACACTGATTTGATCTTCTAATTTTTGCACTATTAAACATTGCTAAATACAAGATAGAAAAAAAAGAGTTTAGTACAATAAAGTAATATTGCAAACAGATGTAACATTTCTTCTGTACAGTCTTACTTCTATTGACTGTGGCGTTGTTTCAAATACAGGGACGGTCCCAAGTATAGGAGTATCAGCCTCTAACTCATCGTCTTCTACACCAACTGACGCATCCACCACATCTTTTGCAGTAACATGATGGTTTCCAAAGTCACGGTAGAGTTGTAACAGGTCAGGAGGTTTTGGAATGTTCAATCCTACATCATCCCAAAGTTCAAAATCCTTCAAAGGAATTAAAAAAAACTAAAGCATACAAAATACTTCCTTTTATTTTTGTTTCTCTTCCTCATTTGACCACAGGCCATACAACAGCAAAATAATTACATCAAGACTGCATTGTAGTAGAGCAGATGAAAGCTTAAATCAAACAGCAAGAAACAATAGCAGAGAAAGGATCCACTTCATGAAGCAATGCACTTTCATCCTAAAGGCAGCTCTAGGTAACATACTAAAGACAGGACCTTTCAAAACCACACAGATTACAATTTATCTTTTTTCTAGGACATGAACACTTTTTAGAATCAGAAACAACATTGCTCAAATTCTAGCAGAAGCCAGTGCAGCTGATAGAAGGTTTTCTACTGATAGAGGTATTGGTTTTGTTCCCATGTCAGCCACAAGTACAGGTGTAATTTCCCAGAGGCAGACTGTTACAGTACTGCAGAATCATTTAGAACATTAGACATAAAAGCAATCATCTTAGCTATGTTTGGAAAGATCTAAGATAACACCTTATGACAGAGAGTTTCTTCAGTGCTGTATTAAACGACACAGGGTCATTAAGTACACTCACATATATGCCCAGATCACAAACAACGAGTAAATTGTATATCCTGCACAAATCAACTGAGTATGATTTAAGGAAAAGATTATGTTCAAGATCCAGATCTGTCACATCAGAATCCAAGAAAGTATACAGGTACCCATAACTCACAGTAATTCGCTTCTTGTTTTGATTCCTTTAAAGAACACACTGTTTCCTTCCTATAATTTTTGGGAAAATACCCACAAACTGCTGTGTTTTCAAACCAAGCTTTATATATGAGAATGCTAACTAACATATTTAACTTTAAGAGTAATCATATATATATGAAGTGAACTACATGCTCAGGAGAAGTCATTGTAATTAACTTGAGTTTATGACAAGATCAGAATATGGCAAGCAAGCACGTAAAAAAAAAAACCCAATCACAAGCAAACTTTACCTGATCATGATTTTCATCTGAAAATGTTATTGATGTAAGCTTGTAACTATTCTTCAATAAAAATTCATTAACTAGGAAGTTTAGAGCTCTTTTCTCAAGAGGTCTGATTGGCTCCTGGAAAAAAAGAAAACAATACACTACATCTTTGGTTCATCTTTATTCCCGTCATAAAGTCCATGCAAAGCTCAGTTATCACCAGCCACCTACCTGAATTTCAGGACTTGATTTATAATTTTTTCGTTCCTGCAAAGGAACTTCATTTTCTGGGGAGGAAAAAAAAGTAACTGAATTTTACTCTCTCATAGAGGATGAGCTCAGCTACTTCTACATTGTTCAAAGTAGAGACTTAAGAAAAGGTTTATGTACACCACCTGCAGCCTGAGTCAGGTTGGCTCGAAGGGCCTGTATGGTCTCCTTGGCTTTCCGTAGTTCAAACTCCAGGACTGGACAGGGATTTGGATTAAACATACACAGGCATCCAACCAAGGCAAGGGAAACAAAAATAAAATATAAAAAGCAAGGATGGGTGTGAAAAAAAATATACTGTTTGTATTAAACAGAAAGCATGCAATCTTTATGGAACTTATGAACACATGCAGCAGAGTTGGTCTGAAAGCAAACTGGTGAAGGTTTTCCATAGTTTCATTGGCCTTAAGTTAGCTAAATCAAAATTTCAAGCTGTCTGACAAGGACTCGCTGTAGGGTTTTGGGATAGTATTTGGGAGTTGATCTTGTCAAATGTTTTGATTTCTTGGGGCAAGGGGAGTATACAGGCAATCAGAGCACAGATCTAAAGGAAGCAAATAGGTGCTGTCAGCAGAGGAAGCTGTCTCCATGTAGCAAAGCTTAAACCATGAAGTGAATGTACTGTCCCATTGAGACTACAGACTTCTGGAAAAAATTACACACTGAAATTTTAGTAGTTTAAAGGGGAGATTTTGAAACATACTTTATTTTACTGCAAAAAACAGAGTAGTTTTAAATCTCTATTTAAAAATAGAAGAGTCTTAGGAATACCCTAGAGTTGATTAAGATTTTGCGTTCAACTGAATACATTGAAGAGATGCACAACCAAAAAAAAAAAGCAAAAAAAGCAGCTCTTCTACAGTACTTATAAAGAAACCTAAAACAAAAAAAGCCTTTGCTCCATTATTCTTAAAAGTTTACAGTGATTCCAGACTCTACAACACTTTAAAAGATGTAGAGTCAGCTTTAGAGTCAAAAATATGTAATTCTAGCGGTTGCTATCACCTGCTTCTCCTCTCCACTCCCCTGGTCACTGTTATGTGTTTCTCATGTTCCAGTGTTTCCTCCAAAAAGGGCCAGTGGTGCTTTGCTTGCACTGGGGTTTCATGTGTTTTGATGTTGAGGTCATGTATGGTGGCTTAAATTTTAAAACCCTGTACTTTTGCAAAACATAGAGCAAATGTTCTTTTAATAGCCATTTACAATTAGACCATCTAAGGGAACCTATTTAAGGAATTACCAGATAAATACACGCATTTAATTAATTCTCAGATTAATCTAATCACACTCAAAATATACAGTTACCAGAAAGAAGGACTCTTATACTTAACTAGAAAAGATGAGCACAAGACAGCTACAATACTGAACTGTTAGACAGCCTATTCAGAATATTTTAATGTCTACCTTATTCCCATGCAAAAAAAATCCATTGTAGCTGCTTTTAATAAGAAAATATCAATGATACCTTTAATCACTGCCTGGAAACAATTTAACACGGACTTTTGAAATATGTACATAGAGGACAATGCATTGCAGAATCACTGCATTGGCTCTAGATTGCATGAAATGCTACTGAAGGTTGCAAATAAAAATGTTTCCTCTTTCGAGCATCTGTTGCTAAGACTTCTGATAATTAGCACGCATGGAAAAAAGATTCACTCAGTTTGCAAATTATCCATAAAAACTGAAGGAGTAACTACAGTACACCACATTTGCTACATGAAAATAACTAGTTTGATGCACAGAATTTTACTGCAGCAATACAAAAGCGCAACTGAGGATACAATGAATAAAATATGTAAAATCTCTCTAGTATTCAGCAATGCTGATCTGCAAATACTTCTGTGCAACAAAGTTAGAAAATGCTCTCATAGTTAAGTACCTAATTTTAGCACTTCCTTGCATTTGAGTTACTTATTCACAGTTACAATTCTAAGTTGTAAACTACTAATTTGTTAGTTTTTGAAAATTGTAAAGAACTCAAATTGAGTAATTTTTCTGACAGAAATGACTATGTGTTAACATTTTACTCTCGTAAAATATTTTCAAAGACCAGAACAGTTGCAGATCAGGAGTGCCCTGCACTAGAATGATATAAATAATAAAAAAAGTTAGAAAAACAACACAAACTATAAAAACTCAGGAAATCCCATTAAGGAAAATAGGAATAAGACATGTCTGAAGGCGTGGAAAGCCAAAAAACTCATGTCAGACAAACCCATGTCAGACGGCAAGAATTAATTTTTAGTGAACTGTGATGATGCTGAAAATTCTTAGAAGCCATCAGGATTTTACCCATTCAACCTTAAAAGTAGATGACTCTGCTGCATGTTTTTCTGTTACACAGATTCTAGACATGGTATATTTGAGAAGTTGTCACTTTGCAGCTACACAGTTCTACTACAACACAGCATTGTTACAGTTGTACCTCATCTAGCCTTACTAATGCCACCATTATAATTGCCACCGTACAAACCTGGATGATTTCGAGTCGGTCACAAATTTAGCTTCTATTTGAAGAACTTTGTTTGTATTTTTGTTATATAAGCATAAATACTTGTAAGTATCTATAACATAATTTCAATCAAATGTTAAATTATGATAAAAAGGTCTTTATTTTAGAAGTTATACTGAAATGTGATCTTCTACCAAAATCTGTAATGATTTTTAACTCAGCACGTGTACTAATGAAATCAACACCGGAAATCCCTTAAATAAAAAGGCAACTTCTAACCCCGTTCTTTGTAACCATTATCAAGTACTGACTTTTAACATAATAATCTGATCTGTCTCCCCCTCTCCTTCTGTTAGGAAGCTGTCGTACCTTAGAGAAGTTACACCTTCAAAAGCATTGATAAAGCCAGCTAAAGTTTAACTTCATGCTCAAGTGAGCTGATAACATGTAGAACTCATTGCACCTGGTGAAGGAGCAGACACTCCTCAAATGATACACCAAAGCTTTGCTGCAGATAACTTAGGAAAGAACCCAAGTGACACTCCTCTACATCAGGAAAGCAGAGAACAGAAATTTGGAGCCTTGAGCTCAGTTTATCTTCCTGCCAGGAAAGGGCATTTCTGAACAATCTGGCTTGCCTTAGGGGAGACAAATTGAAATGGATCTCTTGCTTCTTATTTATAAAAGAACTCTAATCACTACATCTACCATTCTGAAAAAAAATTAGACTTACTCAAAAAGTGAATCTTTCAAGTGAGCAACCAGGCATTAGATAAAGTTTTTCAGATTAGCCATTTTTACATGATTCAGTTTTCAAGAAGCTAACCTAACACACCTTAAAAGAGAAGTGCATATCAGGAGTAGCTTGTCTGCTGAGCTTTGACATTTAAAAGTGAAGTTTCCTCAAGGATCTTATTCTATTCACTCATATTTGTTAATGACTTCATAAGTTTTTGGATCATAGGTTGAGAAGACAGCTATAAAAAACAATCTGAGATTTGGGATGGAACAAGCTGAAATCTACATGAACAGCAGTCTTGTGGGGCCAAGGCCAAAAAGCTGAAGAATTAAACAGTATTTCTAAAATTTTTTCAATACTAGCTTTTGTATAAGTAGTATTATTTCCAATTAAACCAGAATTTTACGTTTCACTTATGAAATATCTTGTTAGACTTTTGCATACTTCACTATGAAGTATTTCAGACAACAGGAGAAAGGTAGTTTTGTGTTGTGAAGCCACAAGACGGCATTCAGACATTTTCTTT